GAGTAGGTGAGGGAAGAGTGAGAGTGGAGAGGGAGAGGAGGGAGTGAGGGAGGGGAAGGGAGTGCAAGCATCACCTGAGGAGGCTGATGAGAGTGAGGATGCGGATGCATCGAATGCTGCGAGCAAGAGGAGTGAGGAGAGTTCGACCTCGAGTCGTCAGTCAGTCACCTGAGGGACTCCGTATCCTCGATGCGCCACTGCCTGCGAGCTCGGAACAGGTTGTGGATGTTGATGAAGCATGCCGCCTTGTCCAGCCTTCGTCATAGTCAGAATCTTCCAGCGTCCTCCTGCTCCTGCTCCTCCTCAACTACCCTCCCCCTTCCCTTTCACTGGAAAGCCAGAACCGACTCTCCTCACCTGCACATTTCCCATCCCCATCATGTGTCCACGTCCAACGGAGTAGGAGGTTGGGCCTCCGGTCTGCGACTGCCATCACCCGACCCTGCGAGTCTCAAGCAGCAGGCAAACCTTTCGCATCGCCTGCATGGGAGCCGACTGCGCTGGAGCTGGAGACTGTGCTGGAACTGTCTGCTGGGACAGCTTCATGAGCTCTGGAGTGCGAGGGGGAACGATCTCACCGGTCGATGCTGTGCTCCTGCTGAGCCTCCAGGGGGAGGAGCTGAGGAGCTCGTAGGCTGAACAGTCTTGACAGTGCTCGGTTGCTGGCTGCTGGCTGGCTGCGAGAGCGACTGCCTGACAAGCGAGGAAGGGTCGACTTTGACGTCCCCGTCCTTGTGCGAGCTGAGCAGAGAGTTCAGACGCCGTCTCCATCACGAAGGGGTAAAGCGGAACCTCGATGACGCGCTGTTGCCGGTGCCGTTGGCTTGAGCTGCTCCTCTCTTGGCTAGAATCTTGACAGCTCGTTTTAACCTTGAGCAGTGAGCACAACAGAAACTGACCTGGTGAGAATCGAACGTGCAAGTCCAACCCTCTCGCTGCATGATCATGACCTGCACCATCACTGTCATGGTCGTCCTATCTCAAGCCTTTTCCTCACTTGTTGAGATCCATACAGCTGCGCCAATCGACCATTCCCGATTATGAGAGGGTGTACGACAGCTTGAGATCCTTCTACGGCCTTGCCATCCGGTCCAATATCATCGATCCTCATCATCACTGCAAGTGATTCAGGCATCGCACACATCATCGCTTCAAGTGATAACCATGGTAAGAAGATGCAGCACGTAGTTGGATCCAGATGGTAGCGAGTTGTCGATTCTTCTTGAAGCGCATCTGAAGATACATTATGAGCGCTTCCAGAAACTGCCTCTGCTTTTCCCGCACCTGTCGCTCAGGCGGCAATCCTCCTCGGGGCTGAGAGGGAATGATGAGTCTGTTTGCTGCCGCGCTGTCTTGAGAGTTGTCGGCTGACGAATCATCTGTGCAAGACACGTCACACAGTTTCCATGTCCCACACGCCTCCATCACCTCCGTTCGAATCAACTTCGTTGGACGACGATGCCAAAGAAGCTTTGATCCTGAAGTGATGATTGTCAGTCTAAGACACTGCGACAAGGCTCCTCGACCACCTTGATAGGATCGCCTTCTCCCTATGCGCTTCGTTATCTTCCTGAGCTGCTCGCGGTTTCAAATGCCGCAGGATCTTCGCCATTCCATGTAACGTTTCCTGGACAACACCCCCGACGATCTTGTCGTCTGGCTCGTCAAGAGGCTCTTTCATCGCTTGAGATGCAAACAAACTATCCCTTCACAACTCACAGTCAGTCGACACCTCCAACGAGCAACACCTTCATACCGCGAGGCAGGAGCAAGAAGAAACTTCTCCCTGTCTCGGACTATTCGACGGTGAGCATACTTTTCTAACCTGGAGCAACATGCTTCAGGTTCCGCACGGTTAAAATCACAAAGAGTTGACCTCTCCATCGACTGAGTGTCTCGATTGAAGAGATGTGCAGAAGCATGGGCTCGTTTGAGCACAGCAGCGTCGAACTCCTGTCGGAACTCGGATCGTACCGGTCTTGGCGGCCTCTGGTGCCAAACTTGGAGCCTGCTGGATTTTCTATTCATGTAATTTGCTACCACTTGAACTGATGGGCTGGGGTCCAAGCAGAGAGTTGGTTTCGTTGTGACTAGCAAGAGCTTCTCCAGGATTAGGATGTCTTCCATCGACAGGTTCGCATGAATCTGCCAGATCTGGTTCAAGTCTTGTTGGAGTGAGCTTGCATCGGGTCGCAGAATCATTCGATGAGTGCTCGGACGGAGGTCATACTGACGAGGCTGGCGATAATCTCTCACCTCCACCACGATACAACCCTGTTCATACTTGAAGTCCACGTTGCCTTGCAGATCCTTCAAAAGGTCCAGTGGAAGCATACCTCGATCCAAACTTTGCAGAAACTTCTTGGAAGAGGGATCATACGCTCGAGGAGCCGCCAGCATCTCATTGTCAGTCGGGCTATGGAGGGAGAAACCCCCCGGGTACAAGTTCAAGACAAAGGAGACGTGGCCATTCACTTCGTCGATAGCGTGCAGGGTCTCAGTGTCATAGCTGGTGAGGTGATTGCTGAACGGAGAGCGGCCGTTGTAATGATCCACGATAGATCTCTCAATCTCTTCCTTCTTGCTTCTCATCTCATCCTCGGAGTGTTTGTTCATCGAGATGTTGAGCAGCTTCTCATCCAGCGACATTGAGGGCTCGTTCACGTTAGCACCTGATTTCTCTCTCATGCTCATTTTCTTCTTCCTCATTGTGATGATATGCCGCAACCACCTGCGGAGCACGAGCTTGAGCGAACAACAGTGTCACAACAACACCTCACTTGTCAAGCTGCAGCGATCTCGTCTCTGAGAAGCTGTCTTCGGGCTCTTTCCTCTTGCTCGCCTCGTTCGCTTCAGAGCACCCTCTATGTTGATTGCTGCCTCCATCCCCAGCTTGCGATGTCTCGTAGCTCCTGATGTTTCTGTTTAGCAGGTTTGCCGAGGAATGCTGCGACGAGCTGGGGTTGGCTCGAACCCAAGCTGGAAACAGCGTGAGGGACAGTGGGGAGGAGAAGAGCAACGATTCTCACGCGAGGAGGAGCTCAGGTACGACCACGAGCTGTTGTGGACTCGTTCTCGACGACATGAGCGCTTGAGGCCTTTCGAGATCTTGAAAGGTGCGATGGAGAGCATGCTTGCACCTGCTCCGCGCATGTTAGCTCGCCCAGCAGCGCACGGGAGCATCCGTCAGACCTGCAGGAGAGGCAGACATCCTGTCCTCCGAGGAGCAGAACTCTTGCCCTCCACTACAGGCTCCTCTCCTCTGTCAGCTCCAGCTGCTGTACGACGTGCTCCTTCATCCACCAACTGGTAGGACACACAGCAGTGCCTGCTCGGCAATATCCCACTTCAAGGGTTCAGCGTTCTCCTTGTTCTCCACCTCCTGCTACTCATGGACACTGTTCATCCCTTCCCTGTCATCCTGCCAGCCTGTCCCGTTCTCGCCTCATCCTCCTCCTCCTCCTCCTCGCAGCCAGGAGCTGGCCCGCCATCGCTCCTGCCCGTCCTAATCCTCTGCCACCACTTCCCTCCTACCATCCGAGTTCCAGTACCACCCCCCTCTTTCCTTCTAAAAACTACCATGATAAGTATAAGTCATATATATCGATACTAATTTTGTAGGTACTTTATGAATTTGTTGTTTTGAGTGAAAATTATAGGTCACCCTCCCACCCCCTTATCAGCTAGCTTTCACGAGGCCCCTTGACCCCTCATCCCTCCTCATACCCAAATCGGTCATCCCAGTGACCCCATCCCCACTACTACCCATTCGAACAGCGACCAATCGGGATCATGGCTACAGTGCCGCTATCGGCATGGGCGCTTCAGGGGCTGGTGGGAGGAGGAGGGAAGGGAGGGACGAGGAGAGGAGGCGGAGAAGGGAAGGGGGGGATGAGCATGACAGCTGCGAGTAGAGGGCGCGGTCGCCCTGATCATTCCAACATGAACTCCAAAGCTCCATGGTGGGCAGAGGAAGTGGCGCTGGAAAGTTTGACGTACCGAGAGGAAGAGAAGGAGAGGTGGGCAAGGCAGGAGGTTGCTCGTCTTGCGGAAGATCAGGAGCAGAAGAGAAGAATGCATGAGGTAACGTGGCTTGTACTCTCTCGATCGAACAATAGCTCTTACTTGATGCCCTGTGGTAGATATCGTTCCTTCAAATGAGGGAGCGCAAGGAACGTCTTGCAGCGCACTCCCTTGCGATAGAGATGGAAGAGCAAGAACGCCAAAGGTGAAGAAGTACAAATCTCTTGCCTGGAGATGGAGATGGAGATGGAGAGGAAGATGGAGATGGAGATGGAGATGACGCTGTTGCCAGGCGTATACAGCAGAGGGAGAATGCAGCGAGAGAGTCTCTTATGGAGCAAGAGAAAGATCACCTAGCGTCGGTTCAGTCGTACCTGGATGAGAGGGAGCGACAAATCAACGAGAACTCAGACAACAAGAAGATTCTGGTGAATCGAGCGTTGGAGCGAGAGAAGAGGTTGCTAACAAGACGTTTCGGGAAGGGGTGTTAACATTTGTGTTGCTTGTTTGCATGCAGGCGGAGAATGGCAACAGATCTTGTCTCAAAGACGAAGCATCCAGACGACACAGCTATTCCAACGATCTCTAGCTCGAGCTTACTAGCTATGATTCTCAACAAGAATTATCTGCAAGGTTTCCCACTGACTGCACAGTCTCCCCCTTGTCAAGCTTTGACTTTGGTTGGTCGCAGACGGACTCAAGGAGATAGAGTTCAAGATTCCAAAGTCTCGATCGGATGAGAATGTTTCATACCAGAGAGTTGTCCAGGAGCAGACGAAGACAGTTCCCTTCACCTCTCCTGAACGGGGTGGGAGGAAGGCTTTCCAGAGTTCAACGGAAGATACTGCTGTTCCAGCTCCTCCTGTCAACTCCCCAATGAACTCCCAAGGGAGGCCAGTGACACCCAAGACTGAATTCAGGTGTTGTTGTATCCTGTAATTCGTGTCATCGTTGACTTTCCTTTGTCTTCTTTTCTTCCTCTCCCTGTCATGTCCTCTTTCCTTTCTCCAACCTCGCTTCTTCATCCTTGGTTTGACTTTCCTTGTTTTGGAACGGACAGCCGAAGGCTGCGAGCCAAGTTGTCTTTGCAGGAAAGCTGGGAGATGAAGATCTCCGAGATGCAACTTGACCTGGCCAGTGAAGTAGCAGAGGATGTTTGGTTCTTGATCAGAGTCAGTGCCTCAAACAGCTTCGCAAGGACAACGAGAAGAATGAGAGCGAGCAGACGAATGGTGTGGGGGGATGCGATCGAAGTCTCAGTCGCGGACAGCAGCAACTTTCTCACTCTGTTTGTCTATCAGTACGGAGAGGAGGGAGGAGACGTGGATGACTTTGTCGCTCTCGCCTCTGCAACTGTCGAGGTCAAGGACGTTGTTGGGGGCAGCGTGACACGGCAGATTCGTCTCACCGAGGACGGTCTGGTTGCTAACTCCGTCAATCATCTCAAGGATGCAACCTTGAAGGTCAAGTTGGAGGATACAGGCGCACTCGGCGACTCAGGGACCTCACAGCTGGGAATGAGGTGAGGGTGCTTGCTCTTGCACTTGTGCTTTCATACCGATCCTCTCGCTCGACCCTTGTTGCTTGTCTGTTTGTTGTCTGCTTCACTTTGTTGGATTTTCCTCCATTGCAATGCACCGCGAGTAGATTGTGACTCGATTGAGTTGTAGCGGCTCTTGCGACGAGAGCTCCGTAAACTTTCCGGCTGCCTTCGACCTCGAACACTTCACAGGTGAATTTCACTTCTCACCTTACTTGTAGTGACGGAACTGTGTTGCTGTCCTGTTCAAACTGACTTGATTGATTCTCCAGCTAAAATAGTGGACCTTGATCAAATGCAAGGTCTTGCTCTAACCACCTACCTTCTCTCACACTCCTTTGCTCCTCTTTTCTCGCGTGTTCTCCTCCTCCTCCTCCTCCTCCTCCTCCTCCTCCTCCTCCTCCTCCTTCTCCTCTTCATCCTTATCCTCTTTCTCTTCCTCCCTCCCTCTCCTCCTGCTCCTCCTATTCCCCTTATGTGCCCTTACAACGGCTGATCTTAACACAGGCTGGTCCGTGAGCAGAGTTGATGGAAACGATGCGGAGGAGAGGTGGCTTGCCTTGGACCTTGCGCAACAGCATTCATCTCCTGCTGAATCCAAAGAGTCCAGCAGCCAGGGCAACGATGCTCTATCGCTGTCGCCTCCTGCTGGAGGAGAAAGTCCACAGGAACAGGAGCAGGACAAAGACGTTCTGATGCCGGAGACCTGCACAGCTCAGATGGTTGAGCCTTTCGGGAAACGCCCAGGGCCGTTACAAGTTGATGACGCTCCAAAGGAAGTGGAGGATTTTCCGACCTCTCATGCTGCCGACGAGGCTGAAAGGAGTGTCGTCGATAAAAAAGGTCCTCCATCCGTCAAGCATGCTGTTGCTCGGGTACGCTGTGGATGTTTGAACGTGCTGATGCTGATGTTGTCGTTTGCAGAAACAAACTCCCAGGAAACTTAACGTTCTCATCTCATACGCCGAAAATCTCCCATCAATGGACAAGTGCGAGACGATTTGACGTGAAGAGAGCTTGTGGCTGACATGGCTGGGCAGGTTGGGCAAGTGTGATCCCTACGTGACGATAACGATGGGGAAGGAAGTAAGGAAGACAAAGACTGTCAAGGACTGTCATGATCCCATCTTTCGTGAATCGTTCGAGTTCTGGTTGTACGAGGCCCAAGAGCAGCTTGTGCTGACTGTGATGGACTGGAACTCGTTGTTCAAGGATGAGGTGATCGGGACGGGGAGTGTGAGTCTGAGCAACGAGGAGATGAGAAGGAGGCAGATTGTGGTTCCCCTGCTGAGACCGGACGGCAGCAGATTGACACGAGAAGGAGGAGGAGGAGAGAATGAAGAAACCATGGCGAGCATCGTCATCGACCTCTCCACCCGGCCCGCCGACGACTCGTTCGCCTCCCCCAGCATCAGCAAGCAAGCTGCCGCCGCCGCCAGTCCCGTTGAAGTCGAGAATGTCTTTTCCCCAGTGGAGCTGCAGGAGCAAGAAAGCAGAGTGTCCCCAAAGGCCCTCCTCTCGTCCTCCCTTGCCGCCGCGTCCTCTCTTCAGCATCCTTCAGCACCGCTGTTTCCCGTCCCCAAACTGCAACTTTATGGAGCAAAAGGTTCTCAAGTCCCAGAAGAACCTGCGCAGCAAAAAGCAAAGACGTTCCCTCCTCCTCCTCAGACCAATTCTCCTACTGCCCCTCATCTTTCCACGACGATTGGGAAGCAGGAAACTGTCACAGCAGTGAACGAGCAGGACGAGGAGCGAGCAAGGTTTGATTCTTCAGACAAGAACAGCAGAGATGAAGCAGGTACTGTGCTGGGGATGGAAAAGCCGGAAGCAGAAAGAAAACATCTCTCAAATGCCAAGGGAGAGATCGCCCATGCTGACAGCAAGCTGGAAGGAAGAGCAGGGAGGAAGCAGCAGCAGCAGCAGCAGCAGCAGCAGATGGAAGAAGGGACGATGAGAGACATGAAGGGAAGAAGATCCTACAAGAGCGGGATGACAGCAGCGCTGATAAAGCAGTTTGACGCCTCCCGCTTCTCCAACGACGACCACAGGAAAGATAACGAGGAGGAGGAGAATGCGGAGGAGGAGGTGGAGGCAGCGGCAGGCAAAGTACCTCCGGAGCCTCTTCGTTCTTCCGCCGCAAAGACTGCCTACCCTCCTGCCCGCGCTGAAGGGAGGAAGAATACTGCACTAAAGGCGAACCCTTGGTTTGTCTCGAAGCTCGTCCGGCAAGCGCTGGAGGAGGAGTATGAGCAGGTAGCAAGAGGCGGTACATCAAGCAGCGAGGACGACGACGAGGACGAGGAGGAGGACGACGATGACGACGAACATGTTTTATCCGCTACGAAACCTGTCGGCAGAATCCCTTCCTCCTCGTCATCAGAAGTGGAGGAGGGGAGTAGGAGGACGCGAATTCTTGCCGGTGTCTCCCAGCCCAACGATTCAGATGCTCCAGCGCTTAGGCTGTCAGCAAGAGGAGCACGACCGCAAGGTGCACATGATGGCAAGAAACCCAAGAGCATGAAGATCACTGAGGATGAGGAGATCGCGACTACTGCAAGCAGGTGGGAAAAGAAGGAAGACCGAAAGGAAGGAGGGAGCGAGCGAGGGAGCGAGCGAGCGAGGGAGAGAGGGAGCGAGGAGGAGAGGGAGCGAGGAGGAGAGGAAAACTTGTCAACATCTGACTGACATGGTCCTGTATAGGATGATCGCAAACATTCGAGCTCGACTAGGGCAGAAGGATGGGAAACTATGAGGGGGAAGGACAAGAATGATGTAGCTGTTGTCTTGTTGTTTATGTGTGCGTGTGTGCCTTCATGTCTATCTTAGCCATGTTACGTTTTCTATCTTTGCCATGATCGTAGAAAATATTTTCAACCGGCAGATCAAACCAGAAGTTTATTGTACAATTCACCAAAGGGAGGAGAGAGGGGAACAAAGGAAACAATCAAAAACAATACACTACAGAGGTTAACAGGAGGTGTGTACAGAGAACACAGGCTCTAGTACACGTCTACACTCGTCACAAACGCTGCAGCAGCGCCAGCAAACGAGTGGAATCCGAATTTCTCCTTCTTCCCATGAGGACGAGTGTCCTTCCCATGGAGGTGGAGGTGGAAGTCCTGCGGCAAGGGCGGAACCTTCCAGCCCATCGGCTCTGCCTTGACAGGAGGAGGAGCGAGATGGTCGGGGGAGGGAGCGATCACCTTGGATGCGAGGCCGAGGATGATGACTGCTGGTTTGACAAGAAACCGCACGAACTCCCCGACAAGCATGCGAACGTCCTCGGGGGTTTGAGAGGCCATGGGCTGCTGCCGCTGCTGCTGGGGGCGAGCAGGGAGCTTGTTGAGGGGCTTGGCATCGAAAGAGGGCATCTTAGCGGCCAGCGACTTCTCAAGGATGTCCGTTCCTCTCTCGCAGCTGGAAAGAAACGCGCCCTCCGCAAACTTCTCCAGCTGGGACTTGATGGCTCCTCCGAACGCGTCGGTCACAGTGACGGTGATTGACTGCTCCATGAGGGTCCAGTTGGGGTTGGAGGGATCAGCTCGGAGGGAGAAGGTGCGATGAGCCTTGCAGATGCTCTCGAGCACTCGGTTCACAGTCCTGAGAGAGGCCGTCAGGGATGTGCGGCAAGACGAGAAACGGAGGCTACTGACCATGAGGAGGAGCTGCGCTGCTTGTGGTTGATGGTTTGCTCCTCGTCGAATACAAAGAACTCATCTCGGACGATCTGATCTCCATCGTCAGCAAACTCGCACAAAGTCGTCAACACAAACTCACAGTCTTCTTGATCAAGAAGGGAGAGGATTCTTGGTGTAGATCGTCTTCTTCAGGACGACGTCGGCTCCTTTCCTCAACGTCTTCACTTCCTCCCTGATGAAGTTTGGGTCTTCCGGCCCATTCTCCCAGGCCTCGTTGACGATCTCGAACGGGTACTTGATCACCCGCCTGAATTCTGCTGCCTTGATAGTTGAGGTTTTAGAAACCTCCGCTTCCGCCTGTTTCGTGTTGCTGATGGTAGTCGGCAAGAATCCCCCTGAGAGGGCAAGAGAAGACAACAAGCACCATCCTATCAACTGAGCCTGCGTGCTCGATGAATGGGAGTGCTTGGTAGACCAGTTCATCGGTTGCTAGTAGACGAAGGGTCGGTGTTACGAAAGTTCGATTGGAATATCAAGCTCGCAGAACTGAATCAAGATACTTTTGAATATGAATCTCCTAGTGTGCTCGCTCGAAAGGTAACTGAATTTCGATGATAGATGCGAGTATCTGCAGAGTAGAGAGTCTATTGCAGGCACGAGAAACTTCGTTGCTCTTCAGAGTCGCTGAAGGATGGGTGTCGACGATTGATTGAGGGGCGAGATTGGGTGGAGGGGAGAAGGGGAGAGAGATAGCACGAGTTCGAAGTGGTCAGGTCTTAAAGGAGGGCCGAGAGGAGCGCGGGTCAAGGAAGGGGGGGTGGGGGGGGCTGGTGTGTTGTAGGAGCGGCCAGGGGAAAAGAACTTTTAGGGGAGACAGGATGGGGGGCGGATGGGGTAGGGGTGAAATGCAGATGCTAGAGGGGGTAGTCAGTTCTGGGTGGGGTGTACCGAGGGGGTGGGTACATCGCAGATTGAGAGATGGTAGGGGGTGCCACCTGGAAAAAGGGGGGTGGAGCTTGTGTGTATTACATCCAAGGGGTGGATGAAAGTGGAGGGTGGGTAGATGGCATGAGTTCGAGGGTACAGGTTGCAAATGAAGTTGAATAAGGTGAAATGACCGGGTCTTGTCTCATCAAAGAACGGGTATTTTTACAGATGTCATCAAAAGATATGGTGGGCTTTGATTTTGAGGGGTAGGTAAGCACGGGGTGTGGGTACGACTTTGTAAGGGGGGGGTGGTAAGGGAGAGGGTGGAGGGTAGAAAGGGGAAATGGGGGCGGGTTTCTAATTCGGATATTAAAAGGGTGTTTTAAGTACAAAAGTCGAAAAGGGTTTTTAAGTGAGATACGCACAAAAAGGGTAGGAGATTGGGAGAAAGGGAGGGTGGGGTGATATCACAGAAACAGTCATCCGATCTCTAAAAGAATATTCATAGTCACAAAAACTATACTTATCAAATTCATCTCCCGTGTCTGCAGGGGGATCTGTCAATAACTAATTTAGAATCTGTACTATACCCCAGAGAGTGAAGTATAAAAGCTATTATTTGAGAATCTCAGCCTCGTCGTTGTATTGAAACCCAACCTTTCCCTATATTACAACTGGAACCTGACCTTCTTATAACCCATCTTACCCAGAGTTGTACTGGAAAAAACGCATGGTCAGCCTTGAACCCACTCGTTTTACTTCAAAATAACCGGTCCTGTCTGCAAAAACTTTTACCCATAATAACGGTTTTACATTTAAAACCTCTTAACAACTCAGTTTTACACAGCCTCACACCACCCCCTCCACCATAACCCCCTCTTCTCAATTGAAATACCCCCACCTTTCATACCTTACCAAAACCACCCTCGCGAAACGGTTTTCCCGTACTGATTTTTAACTTAACTTTGAGTGCCTCACCTCTTTGTGACTACCCCTACCTACTCAAATAGCTTGAAGTACCCCCTGTTGTAACAGTCCCAATGTCGGACAACCCAGGATGGGTCAATAACCCCCACCCCTTCTTCTAGCCTTCGAATGACCCCACTGCAGGAAGGTCTTTAACTTATCTTTGAGTAAACGAAGGCATCAGACGGACATCAGGCCCGGATTTCGGCCTCTCTCAGTCTCCGGGCCCCGGGCTCCGGGCCGCTGCCGGGCCTCTCCGGGCCAGTTTACACTCAACGAGCCGCTACCCCTCTGGGTACCCCCATTTTTGAGCTAGAAAGGTGGGGTGGTCTAGTCACGATTCACTTTCATGGCAGTCAGCAGCACAGGAGCAGGAGCAGGAGCGGGAGAAAGCCAGGGGAAGCATCAGATGAGTAGCAGGAGAGTGGGAAGAAGCAGGGCAAGGAATAGCAACTACAGAGAGCCGTACATCCTGCTCAGATGTTTCGGATCCTTCCTTTTCTGCTCAGTTGGGTTTGGAATCCGCTTCCCTTTCCCTCACGCATCCGTGATGCATTGTGAAGCTGACTCTTGTTCTTCAAGAAGCAGTCCAACAGAGGATGGAGCATGTGGAAGGATCTTTGGAAACGGCGCTGTCTAGAGACAAGACGGCATCGCCCCCGTCACCGAGGTTGGTCCGAGATGGGGGAGAAGAGCACGTGAAGCAGATGGCTGCTCACGGTCTTGCTGCAGTGAAGCTGAGAAAGATGAGGAGATGGTAGAGGACTCGTTCGACGAGGACGGTATGTCTGGTGTCGGCGTTGTGAAGTTCCTGCTGATATTCTTGTTGGAAGATTACATGGAGAAGCTGCGAAAGGCGAAACGACTGGCTCGATCCGAGATCAAACTCTCTCAGTGGAATCAGGTGGTGTCAGATGTTGAGAGCGATGAGAAGGAGTGATGTGATGTTGTACAGTACAACTTCGCGTCCCTCGATCTTGACCAAGGTTCCTGCAATGTGTAGAGGCTTGTTGGGAGGTGACATCATTGCAGTTCTTGGTCCAGTGGAAGACAACATTGAGAGAGTCTCTTGCCATGAGCTGAGCACGCAGGTGAAGAACGTGACGATAGGAGGAGGCTCAGTTGGAGGTGGCAGGATTTCATCGAGAGGTTTGAGATCCCGTGCAAACCTTGCGTCATTACGGGTCTTCTAGATAGGTTTGCCTTCGAATTGCACTCGTACGATGATGCGATATGAACGATTGCTCTCTTACAGATGGCCTGCGAAGCACAAGTGGAGCTTTCAGTACTTTGCAGAGAAGTATGGAGCAGCGAGATTCAAGGTTCTTGTCCCCTGTGTAGCCCTTTTCACATGTGACAAGTGTATGTTCAGTGCGGGGAGGACGACGACGGGTACAAGGTCAAACTGAGATTAGACTACTTCGTTCATTACCTGAAGAATGGTGCAAAATTGGTGAGAAATGAATGCTATCCCTCTCACTCCGCCTACTCTTTCACTGAGTCGCTATCCCTTCCAGGACGACTCTCCTCTCTATGTGTTCGACGCTGATTTCGGTGATGACGGGAAGGTTGGGAGGGAGGGAGGGACTAGGATGTCTTGGTGACTCGTTGCTTCCTCTTAGATCACCAAACCGATGCTTGACGACTTCACCATCCCAATATACTTCCGTGAAGATCTGTACCAGGTACGCATCCTTCATCTCCCTCTCTTCGTCCGTGTCGTATGCTCGTTTTCCTCTGGCTCCTCCTCCATCATTCCTGCACGAGTCACTTGTGTATTCGTCTTGATCGTGATTGTTCAAAGTACGCTGGGGAAGAGAAAAGACCTCCGTACCGATGGGTTTTGCTCGGACCAAAAAGAAGGTGCGAGGAGGAAGAGAAGGAGGGTGAGGGACCACGACAGGGACAGGGACAGAGAGGAGCAGGAGCAGGAGCAGGAGCAGGAGCAGGAGCAGGAGCAGGAGCAGGAGCAGGAGCAGGAGCAGGAGCAGGAGGAAGGGAAGAGGAAGGAGAATGAGCTGACATGAAGTACAGTGGGAGCTCCATGCACATCGATCCTCTAGCGACGAGTGCTTGGAATGCGGTCTTGTCGGGGAGGAAGAGGTAGGGGAGGGAGGAGGAAGACAGGAGGTGACAACGATGGGTAGGTGGGTTCTGTTCCCTCCTGGTACAGCCAAGGTCTGAGCAAGCGGAGGTGGTGCAGGACGACTGACATGCTGCAGTCGCTGGTGAAGCCTGAGAGATGGATGGCGAAGAAGGACAGAGAAGCGATCGACTGGTGAGCACGAGGAAGAGAGAGAGAAATACGAGGAGGAGGAGGAAGAGGAGGAGGAGGTGGAGGTTACCATAGTCTCGCTGTTGGGTTTCCTCATACCTTTCCTCCTATTTGCTCTATGTCCCGACCTATTCTCTCACATCAATCCCTACCTACATCTTCTCTGCTTCCTGCTGTCTCTAAGCTCTGTGCGACATCGCAGGTTTCTCTACCACTACAAGCAGGTCAAGGCCTCGGTCCCCGAGCATCAGAAGCCGATTGAGCTTATCACAGGAACTACCTCCCTCCTCCTCCCCTCGCTGCTGCTGCGCCTTCTCTCAGCCTCCTCCTCCCCTGCCTCTCCTCTGCCTTGTCCCCTCCTTCTGCTCTTGTTTGCTTTCCCTGCCTTCCTCATACTGCTCTCCGCCCTTCCCGTGGCTTCATGTTCCCCTGCCCTCAATTTCTCTCATCCTCTTCCTGCAGGACCTGGCGACACAATCTTCGTCCCTGGGGGCTGGTGGCATACTGTTCTCAACCTCGACGACACCATCGCAGTTACACAGGCAACACTCCTCTTGTCCTCCCCGTCCTTCTCCTCTCGGTTCCTTCTCTTCACTAAGATGAAGCTCTCTTGCCCTCTGCTGCCCTCTCCTCTCATCCTCCCCTCCCCTCTCCATCTCCTTTCCTTCCACTCCATCGTTCCCCTCGCCGTCCTCCTTCTCTCTCATTGTCATTCCCCTCCTCCCTCCCCCCTCTCCCCTCCTCTCAAGATTTTCCTCAGAACTTTGTGAGCACAACGTCCTTCCCTGCTGTCTGGCTGGACTCGACGACTTCAAGGACGAAGGTGGTGGCGGAGGAGGAGGAGGAGGAGGTCAAGCTGAGCAGCTGAAATATTTTCAGCTGTCCCGTCGGTGGCTGCGGGAGCTGCGAACGGTCCGGCCTGACCTCTATGAGGTGAACAGGAGGAGAAGCTGGAAAGAGGGGAGAGTGGAGGAGGCAGTGGGGACAGGGGTGAGGAGGAGGGAGGAGAAATGGACCTGGAAGACCGGGAGGGAGGAAGGAGGGGGGGGGAGAATGAGTGAGAGGAAGGGGGGAGTGAGAGTTGAAATGTTGCTTGCTGTCAGATCGCACAGAAGTTAGCAGGAGAGGGGGATGGGAGACTAACGGCGGAGCAACATCTCGAGATGGTGAGGACATTCCAAGTTGTGCTGTGCTCACATCGTCGAAGATTCTTGCAGAGAGGAAAGCGAAGAAGGAGGAGAAGAGGAAGAGGAAGAAGCAGGTGAGTGGTCATACCATCCCTGCTCCTCTGACTGCTGATGGTTCCCCAGAGGAAGGAGGAAAAGAAGAACAAGGATAGAACATGATTTACATTTTAATAGACATTCAAGAATTCTCTTTAAACACTACCACATCCTCCTCCTCCTCCTCCTCCTCCTCCTCCTCCTCCTCCTCCTCCTCCTCCTCCTCCTCCTCCTCCATCATCACTTCACTTTTCATGCCGCATCCGTCATCAACGCTTCCCTTCACCTCTGTCCTCTCCCGCTGGCATCCCCCACATGCATCATTGCCAACCTCCTCTCTGCCGCTATCGCGCGCTTCTCGCGCTCGCTCAGTCCCCTTCTAAGCAGCGGTGGCGTCCCGCTCCTCCCTCCTCCCTCCTGCTGCCCTTCCCCAACTCCTTCCCCTCCTCCATACATCCTCTCGGCAGCAGAGTTGGCTCGCCCAAGCACGTATCCTCTCCCTCCTCCAGCAAAGCCTTGCTGTTCCCCGCTGCTTTCCTGCCGATTCATCGCTTCTGGTGTATGAGCAGCAGCAGGAGGAGTCTGCCCCTGCTCCTCCTGCACTCCTCCTCCTCCTCCTCCTCTCTGCAGCGGCTCTGGGTGCGATGCTCTCACGCCAGGAAGAGGACGGCCGCCCCTTGAGCCCTGCCGGCGAGCAGGAGGAGGAGGACGAGGCTGGAACGCTGCGAGGGCTTGAAGGGCTTCGGGGGAGGAGGCTCTGCGAGGAGCATCAGAGGAGGCCGGGCGAGTCAGCTGGTTGAGGACGGCACTGATCCTGCCGTCGGGAGGAGCGGGGGGTAGACTTGGAGCTGGAGCAGGAGGAGCGGGAGCCGCAGCCATGGCCGCAGCTGCCACTCCTGCGGCTGCTACTGCTGACGAAGTAGCAGGTTGAGCAGGTGGATTGTTGCTCCTAACGTGATCCGTGGAGGACTGAACGTCAGGCTGAGCGCGAGAGGAGCGTGATTGTCTGCTGAGATCCTGCTGATCCCTTCCTCTCCCTGCTCCTGCTCCTGCTCTTGCAGCCCCCATCCTTCCTTCGAAGAGGAAGGCGTGATCTTCCATGGACTCCTGGATCGCTCGCTGCAAGTCGAAGTCCATCCCTTGTGCCACCCCAGCTCGTACTTCATGACCCTCCTGCTGCCTGCTTGCTCCTCGAACCGACGCCCTCGCCTCGCTCCTCCTCTCCTCCTGCGCTCTCCGGGGGGTGTGAACGACTCGTCCTGCTCCTCCTGCCATAACCCGAGCGACTCCCCCTCCCTGCTCCCGCATCGACTCCTCGATGGCCCGCTGGAGCTCGTGATCCTGACTGACGTCTGCAAAGCTGGTGAGGAGGACGAGGGCAGGGGACAGGAGGAATTTGAGTGAACAAGAGGTACCTAGGGCGATAGAAGGAGGAGGAGCAAACGAGGCGGCTCCTTGCTCTCTGTCCTGCGCCTGAGCGCGACGAACAGGCCTGGAGGGCTCGTGGAGAGTCTCGTCGCTTCTGCAAGAAATTCAAGACTGTCGTGTGAGAAACGAGAAGGTGGGGAGGAAGGAGGAAGGAGTGGGGAGAGAGGAGGAGGAGGAGGTAGGAACGAATGGACTGGGAAAGAGGAGCAGAGAAGGGAAGGGGGCGAGAAGTGGTGGAGGAGGAGGAGGGAGAAGTCTGTCATACCTGCGACGATTCTCTGGGGTGCGAGCTGCTGCCATGGCAGCTGCCGCTCGTTCAAGTGCCGATCTGGTTGAAGATAGGATAAGGAGGGAGCTAGAGGGACAAGGGGCGAGGAGGAGAGGAGGAGAGGAGGAGAGGAGGAGAGGAGGAGAGGACAGGAGGACAGGAGGACAGGAGAGCGGAAAATAAGCGCTCGTGCTTCCACATCACCTGCTCTGGTTTGGTCGAGGTTGTTGTACACTCGATCTCGCCGTCACCATCTCCTGGGCTGCAGATGAAGCAGCAGCATTTCGCTGCACATCTTGCCGACCTACAGAGAGGGTGGGAGGGTTGGATGTCGCTCCGGCTGAAGGCTGCGAGGAGCTTCGTGCTGCCCCTGCCACTGCCCCTGCCCCTTGTGTCGCCAATCCTGCTCCTGCCTGGACTCCTGCCCGTGCTGCCTGCCCTGCTCCTGCTCCTGCTCCTGCTCCTGTTCCCTGCATATCCATGTTCGCTACCCAGCCTCCATCAAGGATGAGCGGGCAGGACGTTCTGGGATCGTTTCCATCCTCGTTGTGCGAGGGCTGGCAGCGCCTGCCTCGTCTGCTCTGCCCATGTAGACGGCTCGCCGATGCTGCTCAAGCACTTGACGGTAAACGTCAACTTCATCGGTGAGAGCAGCTGCTGCCTCCTGCTCCTCTGCCAGCTGCAATATGCTTCAGCCCCCTTGTCCCTCCGCTCCTCGTACACCTCGTTACCCCTCTTCTCCCTCTCATCCTTCCTCTCCCTTGCCCCCGTCCTGATCCCCTTCATCCTCTGCCTACCTCCCGCTGGCGTTGTCGAGCTCTCTCCAGGTCTTCCAGCCGCAGCCTCCTCCACTCCTGCTTCATCCTCACTCGCCTTCTGCATACAACCACCTCCTCCTCCTCCCAACCTGGTTGTTCAGCCCCAACCTGGGATCGCGGTTCGAAGGGAACTCCTCCTCCCTCCTCCCTCCCTCCCGCTGCCTCCCTCCTGCCGGTCCCCTCCTAGGGCTCGACGAGCTTCCTCTCAACGAGTTTATCGCTCGCTCTGCTGCTGCTCCGAACCTCTCCACAGCCGCCTGCTCCTCCCTCAGCAGCAGTCTGGGCGCCTCTACACTCACCATGACTCTTCCTGGCGGGGCCGGTCGCTCCTGCTGAAGAGGAGCCCGGTTCTCCTTGCCCGTGATCCTTGGAGTGTCTGCTACGAGGGTTCGGATGTTGGTCTTGCAGACAGGACAGGAGTGACTGCACTTGAGCCACTCGTCCGCACATGCCTTGTGATAGGCATGCAGGCAGGGCAGCATGCGAACGTCGTCACCAACCTGTTGGAGAGCTGTTACTGCAGCTGCGACAAGAGGGAGCGAGTGGTAGGAGATGAGGATGGAAGGAAGAGGACCAGCAGGAGGTAGGAGGACGAGGACGACGAAGGGTTTGAGCAGGACGAAGGAGGACAAACAAGATAAAGGAGAAAAGGGAGAAAAGGGAGAAAAGGGAGAAAAGGGAGAAAGAAAGAGAAAGAAGAGGAGAAAGAGGAGGAGAAAACACCTCATAGTCGACCAGGCATATGGAGCACGATGTCAAACTCTCGCCACATCTGTTCGCATGTTATTCAGCACAGCAGGGCAGAGCAAGAGCTGCTCACGTTGTTGGGTGAAACTTGAACACGTTGCTGCATTGCTCCAGCACAGAAGGTGTGACTCCCTGACGAGCATGCGACGGGAACATCGCATGCAGCTCCTCGTAGTCCATGCTATCCAGGTCTAACTGTCTTCCTCCCATTGCAACGAACCTCGCTGCTGCCGAGCTTCCTCCTGGCCTTGCTGCGCCCCTCTGCCCTATCTGTTGAGGAGCATTCCTGTCCATCAGCTCCATGGCAAAGGCTGCGCCCCTTCCTTCGGCTCCTGCTTCATTCTGATCGCTTCGCCGGCTCCGCTCTCGCTGCCGCTCGTAGTCATCTGCATTCCTGCCATGCAGGACCCGCATCGATGGTCCTCCTCGCGCTCGAGGATCGATGTGGAATTGAACGCTGGTCATGCTAGGTGGAGGCTACAGATGTCTGAGAGGATGAGCTCGGGGGATCACAAGAAGTCTCTCAATTCAGCCTCCTCCCTTGAGTTGGATTCAGTACACTCCCCAATAGCAGCGCATCCTCCGATCAGTGTCTCGATGTGGGCCTGAAAGCTCGTGCTTGCTGCTTCGCGCCTTCAAGGAATGAGAGTCTCTATCCCTCCTGCCTCCCTCGGCTCCTCCTCTGCGGCTCTCCTCCTCTGCTACCCCCCACCATCCTCCAACCAAAGAAACGAACAGGCGTGTTCTGTTTCGAGGCTAGTAGGACGGGTACTGTATCCTGGAAAAGGTACCGGTGGTGTCATTTGAACGGCTTCCTAACGTAGTAAATGCCGCTATCGTGACATGGATTGACTAATAAAGTTTTCGGCCGGGCCCACCGTCACTGCAGAGCGGCTGACCGTCTCACCATACGGTCCGACCGGGTTCAAGTCCGATCAGTCACGGTCCGGTGAGCCGGCGGGACCGTCCCGCCGGAGGCCCGGGCCGGGCTCAGGAGTACTGTACGGTCCGACCGTCAGTGCCCTCGCCGGGACTCGGACTCAGCCGACTCAAGTTCTTTACTCGGTCCGCCTCGGCACTTTCCCGGAGTCCGGTACAACTTCGAGTCAAACGGTTCAACGGTTCAACTGCTGGCTTGAACCGTTCCGACGGTAATACAGTACGGGCGATAATACCCGTGATCGGCGGGTGACGGGCACGGTAACTTAGTACTAACTCGAGACCCTGACGGAATACAAGTTTGTTAGACTTGTACTAGTCCAAAGTCACGCAGACATCACATCGACCTTAGTTGTAACAAGACAGTTTTTGCTCAAGACCGAGTTTAATGCACACAAAACCAGAATTGAGGAGCACATGAGAGATAGACTGTATGCTAGGATGTGAAACCCAAGCATCCAGACATGAGAGGACCGTCTTAGCAAGACTCCGGGCTAGGAAAGGCCCCCTCTTCCGGCGTCCCACACGCTACCGTGATTGGCCGTCTCGCACTGAAACACGTAAGTCGTCTTGGTTTACAGGAGAGTTTTTGTTAACTCGGCGCTATCTGACTGGCACGGCTGGCATACGTTCCATCAGACCCAGCTGAGTTGGCGGCCGCCCCCGCGCCTGTCAGTGTGGCCCGGCCTACTCCGATTCGGCGCCGGACTCTCAGCCACCTCTGTCCGCACCTGAGTCTGGCCACCGTGGCCGGGCATCGGCCGCCCGCGCCCGACTCCATGATGTGCGGCGGTGGGCGCCGCCAGCACTCACTGTTCGACGGTCTCTGGCAGGCAGGCGAAACTTCGGTCCGACGGACCGTGAAGAGGCCCAACTTGACCCCGCGGCCACCGCATAAAGTACAGCCTTCATTCAATAACGTAGTACAAAACAATATGCGGCATGCCATCATACTCAGATTAAGTTTACAGTTACTAAAAATGCGGCCGGCAACAATGACCAAAGGATCAGTGCCAATCCGACGGTCAAACCTGACTCTGTGAGCTAACTGAGCTTCAGGTCTCGCGTCCTCCTTCTCACTACCTCTGTAAGAAACGATAGCTTCTCCGCCCCTGCTGTCTGTGATTTCCTCATGTACACGATCGCCTCCCTCCCCACAGCCTCTTCCACGTTCTTCTCCGGTGCGCTCATCCGCATGCTCGGCGGCAGGTAGCCGTTCTTGTACCTCTGAAACGCCTCTGCTGTCGCCATGTCCATGGTGATGACGTAGCCTTTCTGCCTCCCCGCGTGGTCGAAGGCCTTGTGCTGCGTGCATCTCAGGTACAGCACGCTCTGAGTCGCCCCCTTCTGCGCCTCGTCCGGGCCTCGCTGCGGCCGCGTGACCCTCGAGTACCACGTCACCTCTCGATCCAGCGAGTGGAACAGCGACTCGATGGCAGCGACTAGCATCTCATACTCGCTCACTTGCAGCAGCATCTCATGGTTGGAGTGCCGAGAGAGCATCTCCCCGGCGTCATACCCCAGCAGCTCCGCAACCTCGTCTCCCAGTCTCAGGCGCCTGCAGTGTGCGAGGTCCTCGCTGTCAAACTCCATCGACACCCACCGCCCATGCCCCCATCGAGCGTTGGACGCCGCGTCGTCGAACCACTCCCCCACTCCCCCCCACCCCCTCGACGACGACCCCTCGCTGTCCTCGTCCAGCCGCAGGTCATGGCTCAGCCTCCCGCAATCCTGCATCCTGCGCACTGCGTCCAAGTCTCCGGGCAAGACCCTGGAGCTGCCCAGCACTGCGGACTTGACCGTGTCGATGGCTTCGTCGATGGCCAGCTTGAGATCTAGCGGCAAGATCTTGAACGCCTTGAACACTCTCGACGCGTTCAGCCCCAGCTCCCACTGCCCGCGCACCATCGCGATGTTGACTCCTACTTGCAGGCACGCCTGCCTCAGCGAGTCCAGCGCGATCTCCTGGTCCCGCGCATCTTGGAACAGCGCCTCGTGGGTCCCGCGGATGATGGTGTAGAAAGGAGCCGTCTCAGACTCTGATTGACACACAGCGCCCGTGCCGGTCACGATGCACATGGCGCAGGGCCGCACGTTGCTGCACTTGCGCTTCTTCAGGCGGCACTCGGAGCACGAGTTGGTGATGTACTTGGATCGCTTGCGACGAGGCCCCAGCTGTATCTGTATGTCGTGCATGGGGGACGGGCTTGGCAGAGCATGGGACCCGTACACCTCAGAGGCCTCGGACATGCCCGGGCTCAGGGATCTGTACGCGTCAGAGGCCTCGGACATGCCCGGGCTCAGGGATCTGTACGCGTCAGGGGCCTCGGACAAGCCCGGGCTCAGACATGTGCTTGACATGGCAACAAGCGACTCGGCGAGGAAGTCTGCTGCCTTGCTGTTGAGCATGGACAGCCTCTGGGACATCACCAGGCACCAGTCGTCGTGATCTGTCGAGATCCCTCAGGTCAGGCAGGTCGCACAGCAGCATGGCACATCTACCTGTCATGGCTCGCTTAGCAGCCAGCTTGGCTTTCAGCATGGATACAAGCTTCCACTGTGTATGGAGTTGGAGGGGACGGATGTTGATGGGTGTGTGTGCGATGAGCAATTTTGTCTGTCATCACTACTGGGGTTCTTTCCCCTGTTTGTACGGGTAGATGTATGGTTATTACTACTCCAGGGGTGGTGGGGTGGTTGAGAATTCAGCTTTATCTTTTTCTCGTACTTCACTTCCGAATGGCACATCGCTAGTCAAAAATTGGGGGTGGGGGTCTTTTCGGTATACTGACTACGGGTGATTTCCAAGGACTATTGATGGGTACGGCGTTTGATTTCCCTGAGTCAGGGATTGTAGGCGAGGGTACTATACTTCCTGCAGGGTGGATACAGTTGTGTTATGGGGGTAGTGTTGATGGACAAAGGTGGGGTAGTCACAAGGAGTCAATGGGGGTAGTTGTATCTGTCAGGAAATAATTGGTGGGTACGGTCATCTGATATGGTCACCCCACAGCGACAAGTCGAGTGATGACCACCCCGTTCCCCCTACTATCATGGGTACTGAAGATGGTGGGTACAAAAGCATGTTAAGTAAACATAGCATACCATACGTGGCGGTACTACTGTATCAACGCCGCTCCGAACTCACCGAAGGTAACGTGACCGCGAGCGCCTTGTCACGTTACTTCCGGCTAGCCAGCAGCTTTACCCTGAGGCCAGCCCGTGAGTGCGGATTTGATAGAGCGTGTCTCAGTGACGAGGCACTCGGAGTATCTACGCTGGCGGCCCTTGCCGGGCGACATGTGACATAAAGGTACTAATGTTTACTCAAAGTTAAGTTAAAAGTTAGTACGAGGACTAAATTGTTTTTTAAAAGTTGATTAGACTAAAGTCACGTTACTCCCGGCTAGACCATTGATACGGCGGCGGTCCGCCGAACCCTCTCCGAACAGACCCCTCACCCCCCCCAGTCTCACAAGGGGGTGTGGGGTTACGGGATAACTAGGTGTGGCCATAACGTCCACCCACCCACCCCCATACCCAATAATGTACCTCCACCCCCTAAGTTCACAAAGATAATGTATCCCGTGATACCCCACCTGTGTTACCCCACCCATGTTCAAACCGGACTTTTACATGTCCGTTCCTGGGAGCTTTCAACTCTACCGCACTGCATACTTGTGCATGCTGTTACCTATCTGTCCTCCGGAAACATTCATCCCTGCTGTCATATGATACACTTGATAGAGCCAGTTCGTCCTGAAAAGCTGTATCCCGGCTCCACCTGAAGTCCTCTCCGCCTTGACAAGCAACGCTCAGCCAGTGGCAGCTTGTATCCAAGCTGGCTGCTAAGCGAGCCATGACAGGTAGATGTGCCATGCTGCTGTGCGACCTGCCTGACCTGAGGGATCTCGACAGATCACGACGACTGGTGCCTGGTGATGTCCCAGAGGCTGTCCATGCTCAACAGCAAGGCAGCAGACTTCCTCGCCGAGTCGCTTGTTGCCATGTCAAGCACATGTCTGAGCCCGGGCATGTCCGAGGCCCCTGACGCGTACAGATCCCTGAGCCCGGGCATGTCCGAGGCACCCGACGCGTACAGATCCCTGAGCCCGGGCATGTCCGAGGCCTCTGAGGTGTACGGGTCCCATGCTCTGCCAAGCCCGTCCCCCATGCACGACATACAGATACAGCTGGGGCCTCGTCGCAAGCGATCCAAGTACATCACCAACTCGTGCTCCGAGTGCCGCCTGAAGAAGCGCAAGTGCAGCAACGTGCGGCCCTGCGCCATGTGCATCGTGACCGGGACGGGCGCTGTGTGTCAATCAGAGTCTGAGACGGCTCCTTTCTACACCATCATCCGCGGGACCCACGAGGCGCTGTTCCAAGATGCGCGGGACCAGGAGATCGCGCTGGACTCGCTGAGGCAGGCGTGCCTGCAAGTAGGAGTCAACATCGCGATGGTGCGCGGGCAGTGGGAGCTGGGGCTGAACGCGTCGAGAGTGTTCAAGGCGTTCAAGATCTTGCCGCTAGATCTCAAGCTGGCCATCGACGAAGCCATCGACACGGTCAAGTCCGCAGTGCTGGGCAGCCCCAGGGTCTTGCCCGGAGACTTGGACGCAGTGCGCAGGATGCAGGATTGCGGGAGGCTGAGCCATGACCTGCGGCTGGACGAGGACAGCGAGGGGTCGTCGTCGAGGGGGTGGGGGGGAGTGGGGGAGTGGTTCGACGACGCGGCGTCCAACGCTCGATGGGGGCATGGGCGGTGGGTGTCGATGGAGTTTGACAGCGAGGACCTCGCACACTGCAGGCGCCTGAGACTGGGAGACGAGGTTGCGGAGCTGCTGGGGTATGACGCCGGGGAGATGCTCTCTCGGCACTCCAACCATGAGATGCTGCTGCAAGTGAGCGAGTATGAGATGCTAGTCGCTGCCATCGAGTCGCTGTTCCACTCGCTGGATCGAGAGGTGACGTGGTACTCGAGGGTCACGCGGCCGCAGCGAGGCCCGGACGAGGCGCAGAAGGGGGCGACCCAGAGCGTGCTGTACCTGAGATGCACGCAGCACAAGGCCTTCGACCACGCGGGGAGGCAGAAAGGCTACGTCATCACCATGGACATGGCGACAGCAGAGGCGTTTCAGAGGTACAAGAACGGCTACCTGCCGCCGAGCATGCGGATGAGCGCACCGGAGAAGAACGTGGAAGAGGCTGTGGGGAGGGAGGCGATCGTGTACATGAGGAAATCGCAGACAGCAGGGGCGGAGAAGCTATCGTTTCTTACAGAGGTAGTGAGAAGGAGGACGCGAGACCTGAAGCTCAGTTAGCTCAGGCTCGGCCTCTCGTAAGCCTTAGTAATATAGAATTTGGGCAGTGGTTTGCTCTACTTGTACTATTCATTATAGATATTCTAGTGACTCGTGCGAATCTCGGGCACCCTGCAACACTGCCTGGACCTCTTGATTGGCACTGATCTGTTTCATTTCAAGCTGTTCCCTGCCAGTGTAAACTTGGGACTTGACGCAGTCAGCTGACTGGTTACCGTCGCCGTATCTTGCGCGCACACACCGTCACGGCGCGGCGGCGCCGCTCAGAGTCTTACCGGAACTTCAACTCTCTTACAAGCTTCAAGTGAAACCACTGGCAGCCGCTGAAACCGGCGTGCCTGTTCTGACCGGGTTGCACCGTGAGCCGGGCCGGCGCGGGGCCCGCCCACGGAAGTTAGTGGAGTGAAGTTACCGGCGGGACCGGAATCAAAGTTAAGTTAAAAATGGCAGTACGAGGACAATCATGGCTGGCAGGAGAGTCGAGGAAGCTTCCGAATCAGCGACCCTGACACTGAGTCACGGTCGCACTGGCCAAAAGCGGCGAGCCTCGGAGAAGAGACCGTACTCGAAGACACTGAGCGACCGACGGGGCGCGCCGGGCGAGTCGCCCGCCCCGGCCGAGAACCGTTGAACGGTTGCCAGTGAAACCCACTCAGCGGCCGTCACGATCCGATCCCGGACTGGCAGTGCGTACCGGCCGGGCGTAACCGGGGGCCCCCCGACGGAGTCCGACTGGCAGCCGCTGAGCCTCGGGAGTCCGAGCGGTCCGGGCCGACTCCCGGCTGGCAGCACACGGACGGCCCCTCTTAACTTTTCAACTTTTACTTTCCGATGGGCCGATCGGGCGCCCGATGCCAGTGGCCACTCAGTGGCCACTCACACGGTGCCGCCGGCGGTGACACGGTGCGGGGGGCGGCGGCGCCCGGCGGCCCGGGCGGCCGGGGCGCGGCCGGCCCCCGGCCCGGCAGCCCGGCCGCTGGTCGTTATGATACGTTATGAAAATCTGAATCAGTCAACTCCCCTTCTTGGCCAAGAGACGCGCGGGGCATGGCATGGCGAGAGGTGGCGCGGGGTTGGGGAGGGACGTAGCGGAAGGAGCGAGGAGACCGAGGACTCAACCAACAGGGACGTCCTCCTCCTCCTAAGCCCAAGCGCTTCGTGACAGCTCAGCAGCAAGTGTTGCGATGATACACTTCTCGACAGTTGGACTTGCAGTGCTTGTCGTGCTTGCCCAGGTTTCAGCAAACCCTGCATGCTACACGCTTGGGCTGGTTGATAGTGCAACTGTTAACAGGAAGTAAGTTTCTGCTCGTGGACGTTTTGTGCCACTTCCTCGTTCTGTTTCTTTGTCAAATTTTGCCTTCATCCATGCAATCACTCTTTTTCTTGCTAATGACTGTTGTTTCCAGGCCAGGATTTCCTGATAAATTTGAAACCCAAAACTACAACTCACCGGTATATTGTGTTTCTCTCTGATTCTTTTATCTCCATGTATCATTGAAAGAAATGTGGCAGGATCCTTCTGTCAAGTTTGTAATGGACTATTCAGTGGATTCAACTTTCGCCAACCTCAACATCAGCGAAAGTGCGATCCCTGACCAATACTACTTCCGGTATTATCTCACCCCAGAGGGTGAAGATCTGGGTGTTGCTCTGAAGGATTCAGACGGCTACACCCTGGGGGGGAGATACATTTACAGCAAGACGCAATGGCCTGAACAGTCGTTCATATTCCCTGTGAATCGCAGGTTGAGGCCAGGTCGGACTTACTACTTCCGGAACTATCGTGTCAGAGATGATTGCATGTATCCTTCATGGGCATGGCAGAAGTACTATCCCGAGGATGTTCTGACTTCACCCTTCAGCAAGGTGGTGTATGGGCTCCCGTCGCCTGTCAACTCGATCCAAGTTGTCTTGCTGGACCAAAGTAAGACAGTCTTGGTGTCCTGGCCGCTCCCAACTGACACCGGGAATGCGCTGCCTGCGGATAACAATAGAAGTGTTCCTGTCCGATATTATCTAGAGTTAACTGAGGTGAACAGAACAGCAAACAGCACCATTCTCAATCTTAACAGCACATGGCTGAACTTCTCAGCAGAAGTCAATTTAACCGAGTCTAGTTTACAAATCGGAATCTTGTACAATATCAGTCTTCAAGTGGAAAATGAAATTGGATTTTCTCCCGTCACGTCTAGGTATCTCCGACCTGCAACAAATCCTGGAGTCCCCGATTTGTTTCAGGCGGCCTTGAATCCCAACAATCTCACAAACGTCTCAGGTCTTGTTTGGTTCATCATGTGGGTGTGGAGCTAACTACCGCCCTTGCAGGAAACATGTTTGCTGTCTTGTCATGGAAAGATCCTATTGACAAAGGGTTGGGACACCCTTGCCTTTCGGCATCATACTCACCGTGTTATGAGTACCCCATTCACATTGTCAATTTTTCCCTCTCGCTCTCTGGGGAACCTGCAGTGATTTTGGATGGTGCAACGAAGACTTTTGATGTTATTTTTTCTGCAAACAGGTTGATAGATACTGATTTGTTTTTGCAAGGCTAACTTGTTGCAGTCTTGTCTCGAAACTGCAGAACACGTTTTTGACTGCCCAGAATTATCAAGACGACCAGCTTGGATACTACTCAGCATACGGTTGCTTCTTGATCTTTGAGGTTATTTCTACTCACTTTTCTTGTAGGCAAATCTGCGACATTGCAGAAGAGCTATCCCCTGCCGTTCCCAATGAGACTTGGCTACTTCCTGCCATGCGCCCCGACGTGTGCGAATGAAAGCAAGAACCAGATAATCTTTGTGAGTCCGCCCAATGCCAGAGGGATATCAGACTACTGCACTCCTTGCAATGGATGTGGCGTGGATTCTCAAATCGCATGCCCATCGTCTTGGACCCCCAACATCACGGCAAACTTCAATCCCGTTGAAGAGTGTGGAAGCAGTGTCCATTTGTGCAAGAATCCTGCGGTTGAGATCTTTCCTGGCAAGCCTTACCAATTCACGGTTCAAGCGATATGGTTGGATCCTACCACATCTGATTCGTCAACTCTTTCGAAGACGTATGGTAATTCGCAGGTTGTCTATGCAAAGAACATCAGATTTGAGTATGAGAAAGACTTCGACTCTGTTCTGGCGCCATATGTGGGGAGTGATTGGAGCAAGTTTGTTTCTGTCTCAAGGAGGGATGTCTTTTGCAACGGCAGCTCTTCGGATCCGGTGGGCTGCTCTCAACTGAACAACAACAGCCATCAGTATTTCGGCTCGACTCAATCCGTGTCTGACTGGAGGATGTTCGAATATGGTTGGAGTGAGCTGATTGTGGATGTTTCATTTCGTGCAGGTGATGATAACTTCTCTGAACAATCGGGTGTTGATTTTTGTTGGTGCAGAACTGCTTTACATCCCTCAAGATCCGACGCTTTGCGTCACTGCGATCGGAGACTCCAACTCGAGATCTAAGCTGTGCTTCGTGCTCAAAACGATCAGATCCAGCCCAAGTTTTGTCACTCCAAGTCTCCGCGCGGAGCTTCATGTTGGATGCGAGTTTGCGTAAGTTATCGGTTGTCACGACACGTACGATGACGTCTTGGATCGCAGCGAGGTCTTCGAGGCACAAGACAAGACTGAAGCCAATCTGGCGGTCGAGGTAGCGATCTTGTTCAGCTAACGTGAGAGACCATCTGATACCTTGAGCAGGAGGCCAAGGGTATGAACTACACTGTCAAGATTATCCCTGGTGGAGGATACATCCAGTCTTTCTATCGCAACGCATCGTTCACGGACTTACCCACTGGTGCGTCGCTGCTACCCAACGGCCTCACCTCAGCCTTGAACAACCCAGTGAGCTACCGGCTCAAGGTATCCCTCGTCGCATTCCTTGGTTCTCCTGCTGACGATGCGGCGCAGTGGACCCCCCAGAGGAAGCAAGAGGGCTACACCTACGTCATCACCTTGGAGGCTATTGGTTACATCGACAACAAGCTAGTCTCATTGGTCTCTGGTCCGCTGCAAAACACGATCACAGTGAGCCTGAAAGTCCTGAGGTCAGCCCCCCCCCCTCCTCCTCTCCAGTCCGTGATCGACCGGGTTGCTGCAGGTGCAAGATGTGTGTAAATAACGTGTCGCTGGAATACATTGCGCAAGAGTGGAGAACGTCCTGGCTGAATGTGTGGAGCGGAAATCACCAGCTTTGGCAGCAGAACGTGATATCTTTGGGGCCCGTCTTGACGGTAAGTCGTTGAGGCTGAAGTTGCGAGCCCTGCCTGACCTCAAGTGAAGGTTGAATGTGGCAACGGCCACTTCTGCAACGACGACGTGTACCACATCGGAGATAGGTACGGGGTCAGCGTTAGCGATCTCCTGTGGTGGAACCCCGACATTGCTGGTGACGTAGACGCCCCTTGCGATCTTGTGAGCTGACATTGACGGGTAGATGATGCGGGTAGAAGCGCCAAGTACGCGCTGACGACGGGCCAGGAGATCTGTGTGCTACCCAATACTTGCCTGACGTCAGGACATATATTCTCTGCCGGGTATTGATTGACTGACGGAACCATTGTTTATGAATAGTCTTGTATTGTGTGCAACAATAAATCAAAGTATCACTGAGAGGCCCCCTGTCCCTCTCCTTATGTACATCTACACGAGCTCGGCCCCAGCTGACGCGGCTCAGTCCTGCTGAGCAGGGCGGTGGGTGACCCAAGACAAGTACATGTTCCAGATGACGGCGACGCCGTTAGAGAAGAGGACCTGGAGGTGAGGAGGAACAACCCAGAGGTTCACAAACTGCGCGGGGATCCACAGCTTCCAGTTGTTGATGACGCTCGGCCCCCAGTGCGTCTGCACGCTCTTCACGACCTCCTCCTGCGATTTCCCGTCGAGGGCGTTGACGGAGGAGATGAAGACCGCGATGAAGCTCGGGGCGAAGAAGGCTTGATCGAGGAAGACGCGCTTGAAGGCAGCAGCAAAGTTCGTCCCTGGCACTGCCCTGCCGAGGAAACCATACCAGTAGTGCAAGGTAGGAGCAACAAGTACCCCTCCCAAGAGAGTGAAGTTAGACAGTCGCTTCCAATCTATGGTGGTCACTTGCATCTTGCTCTCAGTCTTGTTCATGTGCGACAGCTCTCCTGTCCATTGCTGTGCGGTCTGTCTCTCGAGGACGGTTTGGCAAAAGACATCTCCCGCAAACGCGATAGCTGCAGACGTTACTGCCTTGGTTCCTATGCCTACGATGCCCTTGGACTGCAGTAGTGCCTGGTACTTCTTCCAGACCTGATAGATCGCAGTCACACTCTTCACGTCTGCTCCCATGGCTCACCATTGAGTACACCCAGCAAGAATTCACAGTCCTGCATTTGCAAGTCAGCACTGCCAGCAAGGTGAGCAACCAAAGTTGCGGAAAACTGGTCGGCTGGATCAAGTACGCAAGGTCGAGCCGACAGGATTCTTCCCAACCATTCAAGGGGAGAGCTTTGAGATCCGCCATACATCGAGAATAGAGAGGGCAAGAAGATAGGAGGGGATAGGAGAGGTCGGGAGCATGCAGGAAGAGGACGGAAGTGAAAGATTTAGGGGAGATAGAAAGGAGCGTAAGAAGTGAAAAGCAAAGGGACCAGAGTGCAGACCTAGGGCATGAAAAGTGATCACAAGACGATAAAATGACACGATAAGATAGGAGCGGACAAGAAGGGAGAGGCGAGGAGAGGAGCGTAGTGAACAAGCCAGGGTAAAGCCGGCTTTGGCAATATCCATCAATCACCAACAACAGCGCTGATCGAAAGTTTGGTCTGGTAAACACGCAGTGTTCTACTCAGTTCTATCGTTCTCCTCCCTCCTCTCCTTCTCCCTCTCCCTCTCCCTCTCCCTCTCCCTCTCCCTCTCCCTCTCCCTCTCCCTCTCCCTCTCCCTCTCCCTCTCCCTCTCCCTCTCCCTCTCCCTCCTTTTCCCCCTCATTTTTTCTTTGGAAAATTTCTTTTTGGTTCCCCTGTGGCCCGTTAGAGAGTCCATTTTGGCTTCTATTTGTTTTTCCGATTCTTGTAAAACTTCCACTTTTTAAAGGAAGGAGGCATGCGCGGCTGCGCTATGGTGGTAAGGTGGAGGTGGTAGAGGAGGAGGAGGAGGAGGTAGTGGTGGTAGAGGAGGAAGAGGAAGAGGAAGGGGGGGAGGAGGAGGAGCAGGAGGAGCAGGAGGAGCAGGAGGAGCAGGAGGAGGTTGGAGGAGGATATCGAATTGCTCACTTTGATCTGACTTAATCTGTTCACATCATCAAGAATGGTTGTTGACGATGATGCAATGATGGTGAAGAATGCTGTTGTAGGTCTTGTTGTACTGGTGTTTGGACCTGCACACTTTGAACCTTAGTCGGTTGGAAGCTGAATGTTTCTTGAAATGATTTGGGTTGTTTTCTATTGCCTTGAATTTCATCCTTGTCATATCATGATGCACGTAGCCATTGGCATGAAAACTTACCTCCGAGAGTTGACATTTTTCAATTTGATGTGACTTTGTACGATTGACACAGGTTTGAAGCTGTTTCTCTGGACCATTGTGCAAGATGGGAAAGATAGTTTTCCCTGAGTGCCTGCGCTCTGTCGTGCCTGTTCGCAGGTATGCTCTTCATCCCCCCCCTCCTCCTCTGACCCTCATTTCAAGGCGTACCACAAACTTTCTTGGCATCGGCCTTGAGTACGCACCGTTTGTCGTTCTGTATGCCATCGCCTTCGAGTGGTGCATCAGAACAGCTGGAGTCCCGTATGCCAACGCCATCGCTCATGAGGCGGCAAAACGCGCTGCCAAGTTCACCAAAAACGTTGGGTACGCCATGGCGGAAGTGAGCATCGAAGACGATGAAGACGTAGGATGTGTGCTCTCAACGACCTTGTCCTGACGCTTGTCTGCAGGAAGAGATCATGGCAGAGGCTCCAGTGAAGCCTCCGCCTGAACCGACCCCGCAGATGAACTCTACTCAAATCGCGGAGGCCCTTCACGCTGCTGAGCGCGCAGTTCCCAACCCGCTGCTACCGGACTTCTGGTGACTTCATCTCTACACCTGCTACGAGAGCTGACTTGTGTTGACCTCAGGGCTGTCCTGTTCCTCGCCATCGTTGTCATCCTGAATGCCCTCGTGTGGTTCGTCCAGAGGTGGTCCCTACGAGTCAGAGTCAAGGTCCAGTACTCCGAGACGGACAGCCTCGAGTCTGGTACGTTGGCGTATGTGACGCCTCACCCGCATCAAGGAGCAGCGGATGTTGTTCCTGTTCAAGTCGTCAAGGTGGGCAAGGAGACGCAGAGATTCTTCATGTTCCAGAGGCAGAAGTTCGAGATCGATGAGTCCGGGATGGAAGTGAAGGAACTCTCGATGCCTATCGGGAAGCCCCTGCAGCACTACAAGCAGCATCTTGGCTACCAGAGTGCAGAAGAGATCGCGACCTCGAAGCAGAGATATGGCAGCAACTCATTGCACATCGAGTTGCCCTCCTTCAAAGACGCCTTCTTCAAGCAGATCCTTGGACCCGTTCCTGTCTTCCAGTTCTTCTGCGCTTCCCTCTGGCTTCTGGACGAGTATTGGAACTACGCCTTGTTCCAGCTGTTCTCCATCTGCATGTACGAGAGCAGTACTGTCTTCGGTAAGATCAAGAACATGCAGGCTCTGCGAGGGATGAAGAAGACTGTCACAACAGTGAAGGTCTACCGCGAGAGGAAGTGGTTGGACCTCAACATAGAGGAGCTACTTCCTGGCGACATCCTCTCTCTCGCCAGGGGAGCCGAAGACGTGACGGTCCCCTGCGATGCTCTGATCCTCCGCGGGAGTGTGGTGGTGAACGAGGCAGCACTGACGGGGGAGAGTACTCCCCAGATGAAGGAAGCGCTGCTGGCAGAGGGAGCGGCCGCCAACGAGCAACTTGACGTCGAGAAATCGCACCGGGTTCACATGCTGTATGGCGGGACCACCATGATGCAGCACAACTCCCCGTCCTCCTCCTCGCACCCCAACGAGCTGGTCGCTCCTGACGGTGGGTGCATCTGCTATTGCGTGAGGACTGGGTTCTCGTCGAGCGAGGGAAAGCTCGTCAGGATGATCGAGTACTCCCAGGAGCAAGTGCTGACGGATGCCAAGGAAGTCCTTGCCCTCCTTGCCCTCCTCCTCGTCTTTGCCCTCATTGCGAGCGGGCACGTGCTGCACAAGGGGCTGAAGGAGGGAAAGCGCTCCCAGTATGAGCTGATTTTGCGATGTGTTTTGATCCTCACCAGCGTCGTGCCGCCGGAGCTTCCGATGCAGACGGCAGTTGCGGTGAACGCAGCTGTGTTCGCCTTGTTCCGATCGAGCGTGTTCTGCACTGAACCGTTCAGGATCCCCTTTGCTGGCAAGGTCGAGTACTGCCTCTTCGACAAGACTGGCACCCTGACAACTGACAAGCTTGTCTGTGTCGGCACCTGGTACTCCAGCATGCGCGCGCAGGAGGATCCTCTGCCTCCCGCTAGGACCGAGCGGGAAGCAGCAGTCGTCCTTGCTGGCTGCCATGCGCTGGTCCAGGTGGGCGATAAAGTGATGGGGGACCCTGTTGAGATGGCAGCGATCAACGCGATAGGATGGCAGTACGATCCGAGGACGCAGACGTCTGTGCCGACCGAGAAGTCCCATAGCGTTAAGGCCGGCGATGTCGCAGTCCAGGTAATGCATCGGTATCACTTCGCCTCGAAGCTCCAGCGCATGAGCGTGCTGGCTACCGTGAAGGATCGGGCCCGTCCGTCTCCTTCCACTCTCGCGCTCGTCAAGGGATCCCCTGAAATCATCGCCACCCTCCTCGTCAAGAAGCCTGCCGACTACGACCGCGCCTACCGCGCCATGGCGGAGCGGGGGATGAGAGTTCTTGCTCTTGCCTCGAGGGACTTGAGCGCAGCGGAAGCGAGTCAGGCGAAGCAGGCGCAGGCGACAGGACACGGTCCGGCGAGGGAAGACATCGAGCGTGACCTCAACTTCGTAGGATTCGTTGCGTTTGCTTGTCAAGTCCGACGAGACACGGCAGAGGTCGTGAAGCATCTGCTGCAAAGCTCCCATCACGTCGCCATGGCGACGGGAGACGGAGCTCTGACGGCCCTCTACGTCGGGGAGGAGGTCGGGATGACGAGTGGGATCAAGGAGAAGGAGCTGCTGCTCGAGAAGGATGACTCCGGCCAGCTCGTCTGGTCGGTTGCCAGAGGAGATCTTCACATCCCGTCTATGGCCTTCCAGGCCAAGGAGGTCCCGAGGCTGGTCAAGGAGGGGTACGACCTCTGCGTCACCGGCTCCTCCCTGCAGCTCGCGGCTGATCGCGACAGCTACATGTGGCAGGTGGTGAAGCATATCAAGATCTTCGCTCGCATGTCACCCGAGGACAAGGAGGCCGTGCTGCGCGCTCTCAAGGAGCAGGGGTATCACACCCTCATGTGCGGCGACGGCGCCAACGACGTCGGGGCTCTCAAGCAGGCGCACATCGGGGTGGCTCTGCTGTCAGGCTTCGGGGCGGCGAACACGGCGAAGGAGGGAGAGAAGACGACGGACAAGGAGACGGCGGAAGAGAAGAAATCGCGCCTGAGCGAAGAGTTCAAGAAGATGCAGGAGAAGCAGAAGAAGCTTCAGGCTGAGGCGAAGAAGGACGCCGAGTACATGAAGCAGTGGCAGATGCAGCGCTACAACGAGCTGGTCAACGAGTACTCGCAGCGGGGAGACGCCTGGGCTGCGTTCAAGGCGATCAAGCAGGCGGCGGTGGAGGCTCGAGACGAGCTGAACAGGAGAGCACAGGAGCGGCAGAAGTCCATCGGAGGTGAGAGAGGAGGAGGGTTGGAGCTTGTCGGTCGGGTGATACCAAGGGTGGTGGATCGAACGACTTCCACTTGCCCTGCCGAGAACGCCCTATATCCAAGATCTCGGACGCACCTGTCCAAGGACGGTTGCTGCGCTGAGAGATTGTTGTTGTGAGATTGCCAAACATGGTTGAGTGGATCCGTGTGTGGTTCTGTCAGCATATCAAACATCTCCATGCCGACGGCACTCTTAACTGCTGTCTTCTTCCTCTTCGCTGCTGTCTCCTTCCTCTTAACTGCTGCCTTCTTCCAGGTACCAACAACTTCACCGCCCAGGCAGCTCTCATGCTCTCCGACATGGACACGGGGGAGGTCCCTCAGATCAAGGTGCGACAGTAGATGATAGAGGAGGAAGCTTGACGCCCGGGGCAGCTGGGAGACGCGAGTGTGGCTGCTCCTTTCACTTCCAAACTTCCTTCCATCAAGTCGACCGTCGACATCATCCGCCAGGTTCAACTGATCCGCTGACTCTCCTCCTGCTGACCCTCCAGCAGGGCCGATGCACGCTAGTGAGTACCATCCAGATGCAGCAGGTTCACGAGGAGAGGACGGAGGCAGTCGTGCTGACGTCCCCCAGGTCCTCGCCCTAGAGTGTCTCATCACCGCCTACTCCATGTCGGCCTTGTACCTCGACGGAGTCACGAAGGGTGAGAATCAGCTGCTGGCTACGGGGCTGCTGTTGATGGTTGCATCCCTCGCCTTCTCCTACTCCCGCCCTGTCGACAAGGTGAAGAAGTTGAGGAGGAGGAGGAGGAGGAGGAGGAGGAGGAGGAGGAGGAGAGGAAGGTGAGGGGAAGGACGAGAACTCTGAGGAGGAGGAGGAGATGGTGGGGGAGGCTGATCCTTGCGCCCCAGCTGTCGCCCTGCCGTCCGATCACCACCATCTTTCACCCAGCCATCTGGGTCTCCATCGTTGGACAGCTTGCGATTCATCTTGCGAGCATGATGTACATCATCTCCCTCACTCGCTCGCAAGTCTCAGCTGAAGAAGCTGCGATCCTTGACGGCGACATGCCCGACGTCCCCGTGGTTGCCGCAAAGCCCGTGGACGCTGAGTCCACTGGGCTGACCATCAAGTTCAAGCCTTCCCTCCTCAACACCGTCGTCTTCCTCGTGCAGACGGCTCAGCAGGCGAGCGTCATGGCGGTCAACTACAAGGGGAGGCCCTTCATGCTTGCAGCGACTGAGAACGCAGCGATGGGCATGTCGCTTGCTGCTGTTTGCACGGGGATCTTTGTCTGCGCGTTCGAGGTGTTTCCTGCCCTCAACGACCTCCTCAAGCTCGTCCCCATGCCCTCGGACTGGTTCAGGCAGCAGGTGAGTGCGCACCTTCCTACCTCCTCCTCCTCCTCCTCCTCCTCCTCCTCCTCCTCCTCGTCGTCTCAACGCCCCCCTCCCCTTCCTCTTCCTGCTAATCCTGCTTCAGGTTCTCATTTCGCTCGGAGCCTCAGTGTTTGGTTCCCTCATTTGGGACAGGTTGTGTGTGGCAGGTACGCAGCTTCTTCCCCTTGTCTCTGTCCTCCGCTCCGCTCCGCTCCACTCCCCTCCGCTCCTCTTATCTTCTCCTCTCCCCTTCCTCTTCTCTCCATTCTTCGATAATCTCCTCACTCTCCGCTAGTCTTCGCCCCCAAGTTGCTGTGGGTTGGCTACGTGGACGCCTGGCAGGCGATGCCGCCATGGAGGTTCGGCCATGAGTTGCTCTCCATCCTCCTTTCCTGACAAGCGCAATCAGGGAGCAGATGAAGAGCACTAGCAAGTATCTTTTCTTCGCCGCCGTCCTCTTCGTCTACTGGTATCTGGATCAGGTGACCTTTCACGTCTCCCCTCCTCCCTTCATCGCATCCCTCTCTCCTCGTTTCTCCGTCTCCGTCCTCCTCTCTTCCTCCCTCGCTCACGGCACGAGCAGAGCTTGATCGTGCTCCTTGGTGCGTGGTACTTGTACCGCCAGATCTTCGTCGCTCCCATCCCGGTATGCATTCGCGCTCATGAGGAGAAGAGCACTGACGACGCTGCTTCCTTTCAGCCCGAGCAGACCACAGAGGCGACAGCTACGGGCAAGTCGCGTCCCCTTCGTCTCTCCTCCTGCTGATACTCCAGCAGGTCCTGGTCAGGGTGCGACAGCAGCGGGAGCTGCTGGGAGCGGGCAAGAGGGTGAGGGGACGAGGGGTTTCATGGTGGAACTGACAAGCCGACAGATGCCAGAGCAAGCGGGGAGGACAAGCACAGGAGGAGGAGATGAGTTCACTTGCCAGCAGCGGCAAGTCAGTCAGGGCTGTCAGTCGATGGTCTAGAGAGGAGGAGATCGATCAGGACAAGTGCATTCACAGAGCATGGCCTATCCTTGCTATCAGCTCTCTCCCTGTTAAAGATCACCCTTGTTCCCAAACTGTTTGGCCATCTTCTCGATATCATCTCTGCCATAGACTTTGATGTTCTCCATCCCCGGCATGCCCTTGAGCTTCGCCATGATATCGTCAACCTGTAAGCACATCAGTCCAGCAACTTTGACGACCACATGTGCTCACAGATTCGTCTTTGCCCTTTGCGTTCTCCTGGTTGATCTTGTTCTTGACCGGAAGGTGAAGATTCTCTCGCACCTGATGCAACCAGATCGTTCAGCATCAGTTCCTCATAGCCATCCTCATCACTCATCCTATCATCGTCATTCCCATCATCCCCAGCTGACCAGCACCGTCCCACCCCCCCACCCCCCTTCTCCCCCGGCCTCGTGTTCACCTTCTGGATGAGAAAACTTTTCTCTGCGCCCCTGCACTCCTTGCAGTCAACTCCTCTCTCCTTGAGAAGCACCAGCAGCTCCTTGGCGCGCATTTTCTCGAGGGGCTTGTCGAGGCCTTTCAGTGCTGATTCCCGGGCCTTCTCTTTCTCGGACTCGCTCATCTCCTTCTATGGTACGAGCAGCTATCAGCGATGAGGGGCGAGGCAGCATGCATGAGAGCTAAGAGGGGGAGCTGAAAAGTTGAAAGAGAAGCAAGAGCTCCAACATTGCTAACGTGTTCATCGCCACAGAGCAGTCTGCTCACTCTACAACCACGAGGATCGCAGGAGCGAAGTGAAGACAGAGAGGATGAGCAGCCAAGAAGCATGCGAGCAGCATGCGAGTAAGATGCATGCATGTCGGCTGTTCTCACCGCCGTCGCTCCTTCCGCCATAATGAGCATCAGCGTCACTGCCAGCAGTGCAGCGGCTGCCCGCATGGCGACTCGCAGTACTGAGGCGCGTTTGGAAGGTTCCATGCCCCACCTCCCCGCGCAGACATTATAAAAGTCTGCTCCACTGCATTTGTACCCAATTTCGAACATAAACTACAGACAAACTACCAGATATTTTAAAGAAGAATGAAAAACAGTACAATTAAAATAAATTACAATATTGATGCAGTTTTTGATATTATAATGGTACAAGTTGTTTTTGCCTGTATTGAATTCCGCCCCTCTGCGCTTTATATAGTTTTAAAACGACGCATGCAATAGTGATTTTTTTAACTCCAGTACAAAACAATGGGCCTATCTGTACCTAGGACCGGTGGTACTGCAGGGGCCTAGGAAGTACTTAGGGCCCTAAGACCGTTGCTAAAGCAGCTACGAGTGCAGGGGTAGAAATGGCGAGGGGCCGAGGAGGAGAAGAAGAAGAGAGGAGGGAGGAGGGAGGGAGGAAAGAGACGGGATGAGGATACATGAATATTTGTGAGCAAAGGCGCAGAATGTCATGGAAGAAGGGAGAAATATGCAATGAGGGCTTGAAGTTCAGAGACGTAGGAAGTGGAAGAGGTGGGCGAGAAAGAATATGGGGAAGGAGGATGGTGGAGAGAGGAGGAAGATCAGAATGAGGATTATGTGTATGGTGGTCATGTGAAACAGCATTGAACATTTCAGCTGTAATCCATGCGGATTTTGCACAGTGCGAACTGCGAGTGAACAACAACTTTCTTCCATTATAATGCGCCGCGGTAACCGTTGCATGCAGATGAGTGATCGGGGCCGAGATCGTGATAGTGGCCGCTCCTCGCCCGAGACAAGCACAGTGCCGGCTGGCTTCTCCCGCCGCTCGAGGAGCCCGGCTAGTCCCCGTGGAGACGAAGGTGACTCCGGTAGGAATGGCGAAGAGGGGAAGGATCAGGCCTCGTGGAAGGACGACACCAGCAAACGTGATAACAACGAGGATGAACGCAGGCTCGAACGGAGGAGTGACGTGCCGAGCACAGGAGGAGGCTACCTAGCAAACCAGGTGTCTTTGCCCCCGGGCAAGGTAAACATCTCTCCCTTGTCCTCATTTTCTTCCAATCGCTGACGAGTCGTGTAGTTTGCTGGTGACTGGGCCTGCCCGAGGTGTTTTGCCACTGTGTTCGCATCGAAGCGGGAATGCTACAAGTGCAGAACTCCTCGCCCTGCTGAAAGTGGCGGTGGAGGTGCCGGCGGACCCCCCCCGGAACACCCGGGCGCGTCGTTTCAAGTCCCTCGCCCAGGGGACTGGCAGTGCCCGGGCTGCGGTTCCAATGTGTTTGCCAGCAAGATGATCTGCTACAAGTGTCGCACCCCGAAACCAGAGGGAGCGAGCTCCCAGGCTTACTACGAGGACTCCACTGGCAAATTTGCTCGTCGTGACGGAGATTGGACCTGTCCTAACTGCTTCTCCAATGTCTTCGCGACGAGAGCTGAGTGCTACAAGTGCCGCACCCCAAAGCCGGGAGGGATGGGCTACGGGGATGGTCGAGTCTCGTTCGGAGGACGTGCGTATGACATCCACCCACCTCTTCACACCAGTCGGCCTGGAGACTGGATCTGTCCTCAATGCTCGGCCCAGGTTTATGCTTCCAGGCACGAATGCTTCAAGTGCAGGACTCCCCGCCCTCCTGCACCCGTCCCCGCGCACGGGTACAGCTATGACTATTATGCACGCGCTGGAGCGTATGCTGGTTATGGTGGCTACGGCGCGCCAGCTGCTGGGCAGTGGGCGGGTTATGGCTATGGGGTTCCAGGACAAGATGCCGGACATCCTGGTGTTGCCATGCACCCTGGAGCTGGTTACGGTGCGAATCCAGACGTGAAGTGATGAGATCGCGTAACAAACTTCGTCAGGCCCCTGAGTTTGGTTCGAGAACACTCGTGTAGATTCTGGTGGAATCGCTTTGGAGTCTGCGCAAGATAATGGTAAACTCTATCCGGTTACAATATGTACCTTGTCATTTACATTACATTGACATCTACATTACCCTTATTTGTTTACAAAATCCTCCATCCTCCTCACACTCGCGCATCCATTGCTACCGGTGTGCTACAGGTCGTTGAGGTCGACATTTAGCGGCAGGATGTGCTCCATGAGAATGGCCGAGTCACCCTGCAGGATAAATCTTGGTCATAAGAGAGAATACACATTGGTAATGGTGTACCCGCTCACACTCAAGAGCTCTAGGGCTGCCAGATCTCTCCAAGATCTTGTCGTTAGATTTCTGAGTACAAAGTCAGTCCAACAAGGCAGGCAAATCAGAAAAGAAGCATCACATCCTCGTCGATGGCCAGCTGTAAGGCTTTTTGCCATGACATATACATTTCCAGAGTTTTTGCATGGAGATAAAGCCGCCCCTGCAGTTCCAGTTAGCGAGCGGAACAAAGATTGCGGTTCTGTTACAATATCCTTGGAATGCTCCACCACGGGGAGGAAAGATAGAGCCGCACTTTCGTTCACTACCTCATTCGAAGAGTACTTCCCTCCAGTCTGAAGCTCCCACTCGTGCAGTCTGAGCTCGAGAATAGGAATTTGCTGGTACAGGACTGTCAGTCCAATATCGACGTCAATTTGAAAAACTTACATTATCTATGGTCGCCATAGAAAGCATGACCAGCCTGTCAAGTGGAGTAAGCAAGAGTTGTTTCACACGATGTGATCTCAATTACGGGATGACGATGGAGGAGCGAATGGCCTCGATGCTATCATAGATGTGCAAGTTGTTTTCGTTGTCGATCATACAAAATCGATCCTTCCAATCAGAATTGTCGATCCCATTCAGCCCAGACCATGAAACGTCCATCACATTGCGTATCTTGGCATCACAGACAATCTCCAGTGCAGGAATCTCGATACTGAATGTCGAGCTTGAACCAAAATGTATATCGACGTCTTCCCTTCCCATTCGAACGTGCTGTACATGGTTTTCGCTTTCCTGCCCCGTCTTCCTTGAGGCGAGGTTCTGTAAGACAGCCCACAAGAGGGAGCCACGGACTCCTCTGTGATGCCGAAACGCAGCAGGTCTGGGCATGGCCTCACAGACCTTCTTTGGTATTGAAGGTTCTTCACTGCGAGATCGACTGCTCCTGATTGGATCCGGAGGGTTGCTAGCGACCCTTAAGGGAGGCTCATCTGGAGATATTCCAATGTCAGGCTGCTTCCTATGAGCTTGAAAAGCTCTTTTCAGTAGCTCTGCTCGCATTCCCCTCTGGCAGGGAACTGGAATGTCCCTTCTTGCTCCATTGGCTCTGGCTATCGGCTCAATCTTGTGAATAGCTTCGTCTTGTATCTGAATCTTCCCTGCTCTGACTGCTGTTTCTGGTCGGACCTTGACAGCTCGCCCATGCGCGTCGCGATCCAAGAGGCTGACGAAGACGGAGTGAAGAAGCTCTCCCCTCACTCCCCTCTGCAGCCGAACGGGTTTGGTCGGTCGATCGTCGGATCCCGACGATCGCGCGCCACTGGCATCAACGATCTTGATGTTGGGCTCACTGCCAGAACGGTGCATCATCGATGCAGAGCCAAGCGATGACGCTTGATGTCACCGAGATGTCCGAATTCCACTGAGCGAGAATGAACCGGAACAAACAGATTGACGTGAATTCAAGTGTTTTGTAAACGCTCACTGCCTGGGTGCCATATTCAGCAAATATTTCGTACTTCAACCCCCCAAAAAACTTTGAGAGATGGAAATTCAGCAAAAACTGTCTTGAGCTTTCACACGCCATCAGAGGATTAGTGCCACCAAGCCAAGATACTCACGAATCGAATGAAATGATTCGTTACAACTGATCACGCCCTAACGGCTGAATACTCAGCTTCCAACCCCTCAACAGAGTAAACACAGGGTCTCTCTCTTATTTTCACCAACGAACAACATGCTTACCTCGCACATTTGTTCCTCTACTCAGAATTCTAACTGCATTCACCACTTCGAACCCTTTCTGCCTACCAACAGTCAAGCCTGCACACCTGCATCTTCAAGCTTGCATCTCTACATGATTGTTGATAGGCCTTGCCTCTCTGTCTCTGTCTATTCTACTCTCCCTCCTTCCATTCTCCTCCTCTCAGCCATTCTTCACGCTCCCCGCCTATCCTCCGCCCTAGTGCGCCCTGTTCAGCATGTACAGGGAGTCTCATCTGCAGACAAACAGGAGTCGTGATTACAGTATGAAGTTCCTAGGACACTAATCCTATCTATCCTATGACCATCAAAATTAGGGGTCCTAATAAGAAGGTCCTAGAACATCTGGTCATAGATACAGAGTGGTCCAAGGAAATGCCATAGCGATACTAGAAACAATACAATTAATTTTTATGGCGCAATCCCTATATATCTGTTGCTGTCCTTTTAGGGTTATAGGGTTGCGCGCAGTAATAAAATTCATAAAAGTAGTGATTGAGCACGCAACTCGATATAGGTATATAATATACGGGGTACTTTTCCATGCAAAATCAAGGACCGGTAGTATACAAGTTATCTAACATGACGTTCCTAGGATACGTGCGTCAAAGATTGCGCTGAAATAATTTGTACCAGGAAAAAGTTAAGTAAAGTATTGTTGGTGTATGCGAACAGTTGAACGTAAAACCACCCCACTGACCGAAAATGGATTGCGTCTGGGGACAGAGACAGCGGACAATGCAAGTAGTGTAGCCTCTTTCACGAGGGATGTGTCTACTAACAGAACAGACCGAGATATACATGCGTATGATGCGATGAGGAACAAACGAATCGCTGAGAGCACTCAGAAGGTATATCGTTACAAAATTCTAAAACTCGTCGATATCCTCCGAAAGAAAGCGAAGCGCGCTCAAAGAGCTCAAAGAGCAGGCGAGTCCAACGAGTATGAAATATACTTAAACGCTTTGAATGAGTCTGGACAATTGAATTTACCACTTTCATGGATGGCAGTTAAGGGATTGTTCGGCTATTTGACAAGAAGTACCGGTTTGACAAAGAGAAGGAAGAGGAGGCGAGGGCAACATGGCGACATAGACGCCGATGACGACAGTAGCGACGAGAGTGACTCCGATGACGGTGAGCACATGGTAGAGGAAGCATCGAGCTCCACTGCCAACAATGTCAAACATCAGACGTTGTCTGTTGGCGCATTACAAGGATAAAAGTGCGCATTGAAGGACTTTTATTTCGAGCACAATCAGGAATTCACAGCGATAGGGGTAAAAGGAAATGACTGGGATGACTTTAGACCAGAACTTGGATAAAATCATCCAAGCATATGCGAAACATGTCACTGAGAAAAAAGTCAATGGAGAGATGCGTATAAAAGAAGGCAAGAATTTGTTGACAGTGCAAGGACACTTGGAAGTATGCAAAAAGGGAAGAAATCAACATGCTGCGAGAAGAGTTGAAGGTTGGAATAACGAAGATACCTGAAGCTGTGACAGAAACAATCCTAAAGAAAATCGAAATCAATGGTGTTGTACCTGTACAGAGAGATGATATAAAGGAATTGGAGCAACGACTGAACGAGTCTATTCAAGAATTGTCTCGACGCATTGAACAAATGTTCCAGTACAGGCGAAGTACGGGTGGATGTGACAGATCGGCAGGCATGACCTCGGAGTCGTCAGGTGGCGGCGGCAGTGGGCATGACATGACCTGGGGTGTTGGCACGGACTCATCAATACAAGGGGATTTGTTCAAGTGGGACACAGGTGAAATCTGTATGGTTCCTCAAAATTACGATTTTGTGCAGAAGGTAGACTGTAAGAACCTGTGTCAACGTTGGCACTGTGGGGAACAATTTGTTGAGAATGGAATAGCAAAAAAGATATGCCCTTTGAAGAAGTTGAAACCGGAATTTATCCGCAAGAAAAGGATGCGGCAAAACTTTTGCAAGGCACGGAAAGTTATGGAGAAGCTTGAGCACATGGCAAGAGATAAAGGCGGACTAGAGGGACAGGAGAAAGTCACTGTAGAGAATTACCAAAATTGTTTTGACACAGCATACAAAAAGCTTATAGAAAAAATTTATGGGGATGATTCATGGAAGAAGGAAAACGAGAAGAAGAAGTATGAAAGCTTGTCGTACATTACAGTTTACAAGTATATACGGCGGCCACCTGCAGAGGCAAACGACATTGACAGCAGGTGAGATGAATGAGATAAATGTTATACTGGTCAAACTGATGAAATGCTCATGATCAGTGATCGTATCCACGATGAACGAAGTGGAGAAGCTTTGCGAAGGACACATGAGGAAAGAATGAATGAAGAACAGGTGAACCCACTGGAAGGGGTCATCGCAACTTCGAATCCTTCGCAATCAAGTACGTTAGCCTAGAAACGCCTAGTAACATCATTACAACTGGACATGAAAATGTGCATCAAGAAGCAACATTTAATGTTGCTTCTTGACGTCTCCCACATGGTGCGGTGTAAAGATCAGTTATGCTTGAAACAGAATATAACTGACTCAATCGACGAAATATTCTTTTGGGAAGAACAGCAGAGCTTTGACCCAGGACAACTACAGGGAAGAGTTCTTACCTGCCAGTGTGCGAGTAGCAAATTCAGTGTGCGAGTAGCAAATTCAGGCAAATTCAGGCTGCTTTGTACTTGGCACTTCGATGTTTCTACTCGATCTCTTTGTTGGAACTGCTTCGCTGGGTAGATGAAAGATACAGGCTACTCTCTGACTCAAGGGATGCTTGTCTCCTGGCAAAGGACTTAGCCATTTTCCACGGAGCTGTTGTTTTAAAATAGTTTTAGATTGAAGGATTGGTACAAATGTGTACCAGAATATTGAGTGAAGATGGTGGGGTCAAGTACAAAGTTGGGGTTGATGTGTGGTAGTAATAATGACTCAACTCCTCAAGAAGGATTTAAATGCTAGGGCATCCACGGTTGCGCGCGCCATAGGGTTGGTTCAATTAATTTTTATGGCGCAATCCCTATATATCTGTTGCTGTCCTTTTAGGGTTATAGGGTTGCGCGCAGTAATAAAATTCATAAAAGTAGTGATTGAGCACGCAACTCGATATAGGTATATAATATACGGGGTACTTTTCCATGCAAAATCAAGGACCGGTAGTATACAAGTTATCTAACATGACGTTCCTAGGATACGTGCGTCAAAGATTGCGCTGAAATAATTTGTACCAGGAAAAAGTTAAGTAAAGTATTGTTGGTGTATGCGAACAGTTGAACGTAAAACCACCCCACTGACCGAAAATGGATTGCGTCTGGGGACAGAGACAGCGGACAATGCAAGTAGTGTAGCCTCTTTCACGAGGGATGTGTCTACTAACAGAACAGACCGAGATATACATGCGTATGATGCGATGAGGAACAAACGAATCGCTGAGAGCACTCAGAAGGTATATCGTTACAAAATTCTAAAACTCGTCGATATCCTCCGAAAGAAAGCGAAGCGCGCTCAAAGAGCTCAAAGAGCAGGCGAGTCCAACGAGTATGAAATATACTTAAACGCTTTGAATGAGTCTGGACAATTGAATTTACCACTTTCATGGATGGCAGTTAAGGGATTGTTCGGCTATTTGACAAGAAGTACCGGTTTGACAAAGAGAAGGAAGAGGAGGCGAGGGCAACATGGCGACATAGACGCCGATGACGACAGTAGCGACGAGAGTGACTCCGATGACGGTGAGCACATGGTAGAGGAAGCATCGAGCTCCACTGCCAACAATGTCAAACATCAGACGTTGTCTGTTGGCGCATTACAAGGATAAAAGTGCGCATTGAAGGACTTTTATTTCGAGCACAATCAGGAATTCACAGCGATAGGGGTAAAAGGAAATGACTGGGATGACTTTAGACCAGAACTTGGATAAAATCATCCAAGCATATGCGAAACATGTCACTGAGAAAAAAGTCAATGGAGAGATGCGTATAAAAGAAGGCAAGAATTTGTTGACAGTGCAAGGACACTTGGAAGTATGCAAAAAGGGAAGAAATCAACATGCTGCGAGAAGAGTTGAAGGTTGGAATAACGAAGATACCTGAAGCTGTGACAGAAACAATCCTAAAGAAAATCGAAATCAATGGTGTTGTACCTGTACAGAGAGATGATATAAAGGAATTGGAGCAACGACTGAACGAGTCTATTCAAGAATTGTCTCGACGCATTGAACAAATGTTCCAGTACAGGCGAAGTACGGGTGGATGTGACAGATCGGCAGGCATGACCTCGGAGTCGTCAGGTGGCGGCGGCAGTGGGCATGACATGACCTGGGGTGTTGGCACGGACTCATCAATACAAGGGGATTTGTTCAAGTGGGACACAGGTGAAATCTGTATGGTTCCTCAAAATTACGATTTTGTGCAGAAGGTAGACTGTAAGAACCTGTGTCAACGTTGGCACTGTGGGGAACAATTTGTTGAGAATGGAATAGCAAAAAAGATATGCCCTTTGAAGAAGTTGAAACCGGAATTTATCCGCAAGAAAAGGATGCGGCAAAACTTTTGCAAGGCACGGAAAGTTATGGAGAAGCTTGAGCACATGGCAAGAGATAAAGGCGGACTAGAGGGACAGGAGAAAGTCACTGTAGAGAATTACCAAAATTGTTTTGACACAGCATACAAAAAGCTTATAGAAAAAATTTATGGGGATGATTCATGGAAGAAGGAAAACGAGAAGAAGAAGTATGAAAGCTTGTCGTACATTACAGTTTACAAGTATATACGGCGGCCACCTGCAGAGGCAAACGACATTGACAGCAGGTGAGATGAATGAGATAAATGTTATACTGGTCAAACTGATGAAATGCTCATGATCAGTGATCGTATCCACGATGAACGAAGTGGAGAAGCTTTGCGAAGGACACATGAGGAAAGAATGAATGAAGAACAGGTGAACCCACTGGAAGGGGTCATCGCAACTTCGAATCCTTCGCAATCAAGTACGTTAGCCTAGAAACGCCTAGTAACATCATTACAACTGGACATGAAAATGTGCATCAAGAAGCAACATTTAATGTTGCTTCTTGACGTCTCCCACATGGTGCGGTGTAAAGATCAGTTATGCTTGAAACAGAATATAACTGACTCAATCGACGAAATATTCTTTTGGGAAGAACAGCAGAGCTTTGACCCAGGACAACTACAGGGAAGAGTTCTTACCTGCCAGTGTGCGAGTAGCAAATTCAGTGTGCGAGTAGCAAATTCAGGCAAATTCAGGCTGCTTTGTACTTGGCACTTCGATGTTTCTACTCGATCTCTTTGTTGGAACTGCTTCGCTGGGTAGATGAAAGATACAGGCTACTCTCTGACTCAAGGGATGCTTGTCTCCTGGCAAAGGACTTAGCCATTTTCCACGGAGCTGTTGTTTTAAAATAGTTTTAGATTGAAGGATTGGTACAAATGTGTACCAGAATATTGAGTGAAGATGGTGGGGTCAAGTACAAAGTTGGGGTTGATGTGTGGTAGTAATAATGACTCAACTCCTCAAGAAGGATTTAAATGCTAGGGCATCCACGGTTGCGCGCGCCATAGGGTTGGTTCAATTTCATAGCACCAGATAAAACTTATTTTAAAAAGAGCTGTATTCTATAAAAGCAATAGTTAATGTAGTATCTCTCGCTATACAGATAAGAAGCGATTCATGAAAGACTACCATATTTACTTCACAGATCAAAGTATGAAACTTCAGCTCATAGTACCAGATTAAGTGCGTTGCTGTATTTATGGCACAATAATTTAGTACTGGTATTGAGGCTTGCAGTAAAAATGGTACTACTGTGGGACGACCCAGGTTTTTAACGCAGATAGCCTGGGCACCTGCCGCCGATCGGGCCCGGAAGGCCGATCAGGCCCCGGGTGGCTTGAAGCCCGGAGGGTGACTAAAAAAGGCCGGGAGATCTTGAAGTTTTTTGTAACGGTTGAAAAATGATAACGGTTGAAAAAAAAAGGGGCTAGAAAAGAAAGAAAGCTCGTGCAGACCTCGTGCAGCGCCAGCCATGTCGCATCGCAAGTTCGGTAAGAGAAGACGAGGGGAGGCCATGGCGATGGTGGTGGAGGAGAGCTGTTGATGTTGATGGAGGAGGAGGACGCTGAAGAGGGCAAGGAGAGTTCAGGAGAGAGGAAGAAGCTTTCATAATCCATCTGAAAGTGCATCCTGCTGATGCACGAGATGTGAGGGGGCAGGACTGAGGGAGGTAGGGAGTGGTCGCATGATAGAAGCTATGAGCAGTGATCGATGCATCATGTGAGATCTGCTGGAAGGCCGCTTCTCATAATGTTTGCAAGTCTGGGAAGGGGTGCGCATGGATAGATTTAGTGGTTTTTGAAGTTGGATGTGTTGACCGAGCAATTGTATGCATTTTTGTTTAGAGCCGCATGCTGCAGCAAGGCACTGACCATGCTCTACAGAGCGCCCCCGTCACGGTTCCCTTGGGTTCTGCCCTCGCAAGAGGTGCGCCCACCACAGGGGAAGGGTCAGGAAGTTCCCTCGCGATGATGCTTCCAAGCCCTGCCACCTTACCGCCTTCATGGGCTACAAGGCCGGCATGACCCACATCGTTCGTGACGTCGACAAGCCTGGCTCAAAGCAGCACAAGAAGGAGTCTGTGGAGGCCGTCACCATCCTCGAGGCCCCTCCCATCGTCGTCGTCGGCATCGTCGGCTACGTCAAGACCCCTCGTGGCCTCCGCTCCCTCACCACCGTGTGGGCCAAGCATCTTTCCGACGAGTTCCGCAGGAGGATGTACAAGAACTGGTACAAGTCCAAGTCCAAGAAGGCCTTCACCAAGTACACCAAGGAAGAGTCTGAGCGCTCCAAGAACTCCGACAAGGAGATCGAGCGCATCAAGAAGTACTGCCAGGTCGTCCGCGTCATCGCCCACACCCAGCTCTCCAAGGTCAACATCGGCCAGAAGAAGGCGCACGTCATGGAGATCCAGGTCAACGGAGGAACCACCAAGGACAAGGTCGACTTTGCTACCAAGCTCTTTGAGCAGCAGGTCCCTGTCAAGTCGGTGTTCTCTCAAAACGAGATGATCGACGTCATCGGTGTCACCAAGGGTCACGGTTACAAGGGTGTTGTCTCCCGCTGGCATGTTACCAAGCTCCCCCGCAAGACCCACAGAGGTCTCCGCAAGGTTGGTTGCGTCGGCTCTTGGCATCCTTCCGCTGTCGGATGGTCCGTTGCCCGTGCTGGTCAGAAGGGTTACTTCCACCGTACCGAGCTCAACAAGAAGATCTACCGCATCGGCGAGGCCGCGCGCAAGGCCGACGGATCCATCGAGCACAAGAACGCCACCACCGAGTTCGATCTCACCGAGAAGTCCATCACCCCCATGGGAGGGTTCCCCCACTATGGTGCGGTCATGGAGGACTTTGTCATGATCAAGGGCTGCTGCATGGGAACCAAGAAGCGTGTCATCACCATGCGCAAGAGTCTCCTTGCTCAGACCTCCCGTAACGCTCTCGAGGAGATCTCGCTCAAGTTCATCGACACCTCCTCCAAGTTCGGTCACGGTCGCTTCCAGACTGCCGACGAGAAGTCCAAGTTCATGGGGCTGCTCAAGAAGGACCTTGTCAAGGAGGCCACCAAGTAGAGTGCTGGTTCTCTCTCTGTGTTGTCTCGTCAATACAGCTTCTTGCAATATTCTTTCGCGTGTAAAGACACCCTTCAATCCACCTTCCCTTCACCTCCTCCTCCTCATCCGCGGCTCATGTCAATCCCTCCTCTTTCACGACTAACACCCTTGCCTGTTTCTCTTCCTTCCTCATCGTGCTTACCGTCCATCCTTCTTCTCTCCATTCCTCCCTCTCTCTCTCGCTTGCTCGCTTGCTCATTGTCCGCCCTGGCGCAGGAAGCTCTCCCTCTCTCGCTATCACCACAGCACACATTTTGGGAGAAGAGCAGGTACAGGTGCATCTTTCGTTTATTCCGCACGCACGCGAGGAGCTTACAGGATGATGTCGAGCGGGTGCTCTTCGAGCATCTCCGCGAGGCTCTTGAGGAAGAGAGCAGCGTCGGCTCCGTAGATGTGCCGATGATCGCACGTGACTGTCACCTCCATCTGCTTGACGCTGCTCGGCGCGCCATTCTTCATCACCACAACCTCCTTCGCTCCTCCGACAGCAAGGATGGTTCCCTGGCCCGGAGGAAGGATGGCGCCAAACTGGCTCACGCCGAACATGCCGAGGTTGGAGATGGTGAAGGTGCCGGACTGGAACTCGTCGGGTCTCAGCTTGCCTGACTTGGCCTTGCCCACCAGCTCCTTCCACTGCCCGCTCAGCGTCTCGATGTCCATCATGTTGGCGTTCTTGAGCACGGGGGTGATGAGCCCTCCGTCGATGGCGACGGCGTTGGCGATGTTGATGTCCTTGCGGTAGACGATGGACTTGCTCGCGGCGTCGTAGCGCGCGTTCATGATGGGATGCTTCTCGAGCACGCGGGCGACGGCGAGGGAGAGGAGGGCAGAGACGGTGACGCCCTTGGGCTTGAGGGCCGCGTAGAGCTCGTCGAACTTGTCGGTCGTGATGCTCCTCGACACGCGGAAGATGGGGACGTTGAGAGTAGCGTCCATGTTGTTCGCCACCGCTACTTGCATGCCCGTCATGGCGACAGGCCCGTCGGGGAGCTCAGGGACCTTGCGGGAGGACTTGACAGGAGCAGCAGGAGGGGCAGCTGGGGCCTTGCCGGCCGCGAGCAGGACGTCCTCCTCGGTGATGCGACCGAAGGGGCCGGTGCCCTTACCCGCGAGCTTCTTGAGGTCGAAACCGCTCTGCTTGGCTGCCTTCTTGGCTTGCGGGCTGGCGATGATGGCGCCTGGAGGAATGACTCCTCCTCCTGTCCTGTCGATGGTGGGGCCGCTGGGAGCGCTGGCCTTGTCCTCCTTCTTCTTGGATCCTCCCTTGAAGTTCTCAACGTCCATGGACGTGATGCGTCCTCCGGGTCCTGTGCCCACGATGTCGGCGAGGTTGATGCCGCGCTCAGCCGCAAGAGACTGGCCAGAGTGTCAGAAGCTAAAGGAGGAGGGGGGGAATAAGGAGGATAAGGAGGAGGAGGAGGAGGAGGATTGGCTCACCTTAGCAAGTGGGGAGGCAACGACACGATCTCCAGCAGCTCTGCTTGACAAAGCAGTCAGCAAGCATAGAGCATGAAGCACTGGAGACAGCACCTGGCAGCAGCAGCAGGAGCAGGTGCGGCGACGGGAACTGCAGCAGCAGCTGGAGCAGCAGCTGGGGCAGCAGCCGCGGCAGGGGCAGCTGGAGCGCTGGCAGCGGGAGCGTCAGCAGCAGAGACCTTGCCGATGTCGTCCCTGCAGGAAGAGGGTGAGACTTGAAAACACCTTGCTCCTCCGACTTACTTGTTAGCGACAAGGAGAGCAACGGTAGATCCCACAGTGGCGGAGGTTCCGTCCTGGACAAGAATCTTTGCGATGTAGCTGGAACATTCAAGTTTAGAGGAGACAAGAAGTGGAGAGAGGAAAGAAGGTGAAGGGGGAGAGAGGGAGTATAGAAGTGGAGGTGGAGGTGGAGGAAGAAGAGGAGGAGAAGGAGAAGGAGGAAGAAGAAGAGGAGGAGGAGGAAGAGGAAGAGGAAGAGAACGAGGAAGATGGTAGGAGCTAACAGGAGGAAAGTAGGAGCTTTCATGATCTCACCCCTCATCAAAAGACTCAACGTCCATGTCTGCCTTGTCCGACTCCACCACCATGATGATGTCACCTGCCCACCACCGTCAGCACGCCACAGGAGCACAAGCAGGAGGAGGAGGAGGAGGAGCAGCAGCAGGAGGAGGCAAGAAGTCCCACCGGCTTCGACCTTGTCGCCCTCTCCCTTGGTCCACTGGACGATCTTTCCCTCCTTCATGGTGGAGGAGAGGGCGGGCATGAAGATGGGAGTAGTGGGGACGCCTGAGGCGGGGGCAGCAGCAGCTGGGGCAGCAGCTGGGGCAGCGGCAGGAGCAGCAGCGGGAGCAGCGCCTGGCATGACAACCTTGTCGATATCCGACCTAAAAAATACAGTAAGCAAGAAAATATTACCAAAAGTAGGAGGAGGAGGAAGAGGAGGAGGAGACATCAAGAGCCTAGAACGCACTTGTCCTGGACGATGATGGCAACAGGGGAGCCAACGGCTGCTGACTGTCCATCAGAAACGAGAATCTTGGCCAAGTATCCCTCCTCAAACGCCTCAACGTCCATGTCTGCCTTGTCCGATTCCACCACCATGATGATGTCACCTGCCCACCACCGTCAGCACGCCACAGGAGCACAAGCAGGGGCAGGTGGAGGAGGAGAAGGAGAAGGAGCAGGAGCAGGAGCAGGAGCAGGAGCAGGACGAGAAAAGTCTCACCGGCCTCGATCTTGTCGCCGACGGACTTGGTCCACTGGACGATCTTTCCCTCCTTCATGGTGGAGGAGAGGGCGGGCATGGAGACCTCGCTCTGGGAGACGGTGGCAGAGAGCTGGAGGGAGGAAGCGCCTCTGAGAGCGCATCGCTGCTTCCTGCTGCCAAACACTCCGCTCCTGCTCACAGCCGGGCAGCGAGAGGAGACTGCAGTTGTCTTGAGCGCTGGACGAAGACCTCCAAAGGAGAGCGAGAAGGCATTGGCGCTTGCGGCGCATGCGACCAGCAACAGGGCTGCCGCTTTGTGCATGATCCTGCAGTAGAATGTGAGGCCAGGGCAGCGGCGGATCTTAGACTAGAGTATTCAGAGAGTGACGAGGATGCGACATGGTGGGGGAAAGGGAGGAGGAGGCGGGGTAGGTGGGCTGATGTGTGGAGTTAGAGTCATTGAAGATGTAAAGGTGGAGCCATTGTCCTTGATGCATGCTCGCCTCGTTTTGCTGAATTGATCCCCTATGTTCAAACCTCGCACTCCTTCTCCGTCAGCAAACGAGCCTTGCTCCCTTGCTCATGGCACGGATCTGCTAAATCACCGTCTCTACACATCTCATGGTACCTCCTAGATCAACCAGGGGCCAACAGGACGAGCTGGAGCTGAGCGGACCTCACCTTCTCACTTCCACTAGACTCTTCTCCTCATTATCTCAGAAACACGCCGATGCTTAAAATCCGCAACACACCATGCCTATCCTTGACCCCGTCTTTTTTTCTGGGACTGACGACTCTTTGAGAGCATCTACGCTGCCCGTCTCTTCCTGACCCGACAACGTGCCCCTCAGCCTTGTCGAACAGCTTTATCTCCTCACCCTCCCTTCCTCTCCTCCACACTGCTTCTTCTCCTCAGCTACCCTTGCTCTGCTGCCTTCCTGTCTGTCACATATTCTGCCATTCCTGCCGATCAGCCCACCATGGCTCCTCCTGTTTCCCGCCTTCTTCCCCCTCGCCCTTCTTCCTTTCCCCGGCATTCTTGTTTACATGTGTCGATCGAGGGGTTGCACTCCTGACCCCGTCATTGCCAGTACTATAGTACCAATTTACTATCAATTATTTTGCTCAACTAAAAGATGCTACAAAAATGCACGTATGTTTTTAGTGTACAATTTTGCCCATAAATAATTGACAAGAGTTACTCATCATCAATTACTATCAATTTATTTCGCTTACTACGGGGTAACCCACCCCACCCCTCTACCCCTCCACCCTCGGCCTCCGGATCCCTCCTTATAAGAGGTACCCCCACCCCTCCGGCCTCCATTTACCACCCTCAGCTTCCACCCACCCGCCTTGTCATAGATCACCCTGTCCTTTCATTTCAAAAGGAGGGGTAGTAAACAATCTAAGTACCCCCTATGTCCCTCTTAAAAACGGGTGGGTGAAGAGCAGCTGATCGGAGTGTTACTCTTCGTGGGTGGGTAGTCAAAGTACCCGTAGTTTCCCTCAGAAAAAAATGGTCGGGGAAGGGGGTACTTCCTGAAATGGACCCCTTCCTCGTCCATCGAAGTCCCCGACAGTCTCATTGCTGGTAGCTGCTGCCGTCGCAAGTTGTGCCTGCAGGATCCCTGGAGCAGCAGGTGATCTGAACATGCAGTGCTCGTTGCCGATCGCGTGCAATGAGATCAGAGCGCAACTATCCTTCCGTGCTTGTACAAGGGCGTCAAGTGTTCTTGGTGTAGTCTTGATGATAAAAAAACAGCACTGCTTGATGTCGATTCTAAGTAAAAGAACCAGGTAGCTGACACATACAAGTAAGAAAGAGCAGAAGAAATCGGTTTCACAGAGCAGACAGGCCATAGAGATTCATAATGTTCGAGATGAGAATATGGGAAGATAGAATACCTCATCAAATTGCCGTCTTGATCCCATCAAAGAAGCTCATAGTACCGTCCAAGGGTGCAGTGCATCTACCTGCGCAGATACCGGAGGTTCTGATGCAAAGCTTGCTGGTGAAGAATGTAAGACAACCCAACCTGACGCCTCTGCCAACGTCATACCTTGTGTCTCAAACAGAAGAGCAGAGAGCTGTTGCCAAACGATGCTCTCCCTGGGGCGCGGTCAAACAGGAATAACTTTGATATCAGATTCAACGTACTGGTGCAGTTCCCGAATGTGCACCGTTTGGAAGTCAGGTCAATGTGCCATGGCTAGAGCGCAGCATCAAGGGTAAGCACCGTGGCCCTTCCTGGTTACCTTTCTGTGCTCTTTGCAGACTAGTGCACTCCGCGTTTCTGGATCTCCGAAAGTAGCCCTTCGACTGGCAACAAGTAAGCACCTATCATGAATGCTGCTTGCCGAGTTACCTGCAACCAAGAGCTTCCAAACATACTCGATTCCTCACGTCGACATGATCCGGCGACTTATGATCAGCGCAGAACAACGCCAATCTGTCTTTCAAGGAGCCTGCTTAATGCAGTGTTAGAGCATGCTCTCCTGGCCGACCTCCCGACCGTAGGATGGACGTTTCAGGCACCCGTACAAGTATCTGCATGACATCTTGTGGATCGGAGGAGATGTGCATCCACGAGTTCGATTTGAGGTTCCTGTCTGCGCTTTCGATCTACGACATTTGATACAAGAATCATTGTAAATTTGATACTGCCTCTCGCCCGATGGCGAATTCGAATGATTGAGATGCAATTTTTGCATGTTTTGTGCAGACTCGAGGTACACACTGTTGTCTTGGATGCAGCTTGAGTAAGCATGATCAAATCTTACTCCATTAGCATCTCCCATGTGCACGTGTAGGACAGCAGTTAGAACAACCATGGCCGGGAGAGGAAAACAACTGCCTCCAAGTCTCATTCTCCACTACATGCTCCCACAAGCATGAGCACAATTCTGACAAGTGAGTAAGCAGATCATTCAGGCATGTCGGAGAATAATAGAAGAGCCATGCACCGCCATGCTCTTACTTCCTTCGTCTCCTGCGCTTTCATCGCCATGATCTTACTCCCTTCGTCTCCTGCGCTTTCATCGCCCCTTCCTTTGTCGCCCCTCACCAGACCATGGAGGAGACGGATGCGGCTACACAGGGTTTAGAATTTAATTTCATAAGTTCAAATTATGCTCTCAATATTGAAAATTAGGATCAAGTCTGAAATCTCAGGATCTGTCATGGTTATAAAAATGTTTTGTGTAGTTTTAAAGGATCCAAGAACAACCACACTTGGTACATATTACAAACATATATAAGTCTGTAAAGGTAAAGCTGTAATCGAAGTTGGGATACAAATAGTTTTACTCAGTACCATAAATCGTTTAAAAGGTTTTATAAAATCCGTGCATGAATTTTAAAACGCCACGGCATGCACCTATGCAGCACCTGTTCTTTTATATCCCCTGGCACAGGAACCAGCGTCCACCTCCTCCTCCTCCTCCTCGTCTTCTTCCTCCTCTTCCTCCTCATCGTCGTTTTCTTCATCACTCTGCCCCTCGTCCTCCTGACCATCATGGGCACTTGCTCCTTTACTGCCCTTCCTTTCCTCTTGTAATCTAAATTTCCTTCTCCTCCTCCTCCCACTGCCATCACCAATACCGCACTACTTACTATCAATCGTTATCCCTTCTGTCTGGCTTAAGCCCTGTGCCCCTATCCTTGGACTTCATCCTGTCCTGAGCTCACGTGTTGTGTGAGAAACCTTGGCGCCCGTCTACACCTCCAACGAGGCACCATCATTTCTCGACGGCACCAAACACACAAAACAAGAGGCTAACATTATCAAATTGACGAGAATTCAACCCTGTGTCTATACGAGATCAAAGAGTCACATGCTGGGGGCAGGCCTTGGTGTTGGTGACTTGTGCCGCAGGAAAACTTTGCAGAATGCTGCGAGTCCTTTACCTCTGTTTCTACAACCTGTTCGGCCTCTGCGGGTGGGCCATGATTCTGTTCCAGGTATCCCATGCACGCTGCACAAGGTCTGGTAGCTGACGCCTCTTGATAGGTCGTGTCGATCCTTCTGGAAGGCCGGGTGACGAACCTCTGGAAGGTGGATGAGGGACAAGGGCGAGGAGGTTGGTGGAGGGTGACAGGGGGGCAGGAGCTGGAGGGTACGGTGAAGCTGGTTCAAGGAGCAGCGGTCCTCGAGATTATGCACTCCCTCCTTGGCCTCGTGCGCAGTCCTGTCTCGCGTACGATCGGAGCTACCGCAGCTTCTCCGACTTGCTGACGTTGGACCTACAGGAACTTTCGTTCAGGTTACGTCCAGGCTGCTGGTAAGGATGCTGTTATGTCCTTAGATGGACACTGATCGTGATCTCTGTGTCTGACCTGCCTCCTCCTAGACTGTCTGGGCCTCGATGGACCCTCTGTACACTTACCCCTACACTCCATTCCCCAAGGTGAGTTGTGTACCCTACAAGGAAGAAGAGGCTGAGAGCGCGTGTGGTTTGAAGGGCAAGGGATGCAACTACTCTATCGACGTGGTGGAGTGCAGCGAGGAATGGAACTACTACATCGGAGCAATGACGCTGATTGCCTGGTATGCATGAGGACAGTGGTGGTATGTTGCAGAGATGACTGTTACTGTGTAGGAGTTTTGCTGAGATCATTAGATACTCTTTCTATGGAATCAACACGGTCTCGCCAAAGGTTGCACTCTTTTATCCTTGTTGTTGGCTGTGGAAGTAATGGTGCCCGTGGACGATGATGATGATGATGATGATGATGATGATGATGATGATGATGATGATGATGATGATGATGATGATGATGATGATGATGATGATGATGATGATGATGATGATAATGGAGACAATAATGAAGTTGATGAAGACGATGACGATGATTGTATGAGAGAAGAGAGGGAAAGGAGAAGATAAATCTTTGGTCGAACTGATATCACGTTTGTCAGAGCGTGCCCTTCGTGCTTGTCTGGTTTCGCTACTCCGGCTTCATCATCTTGTGCGCCGAGTGCTCATTTCGCATTGCGCCCCTTGACTCTCTCAACAGGTACCCCGTTGGAGTTGCGGGAGAGATGCTCTGTGCGTACATGACGCTCCCGCTGCTCCAGAAAGGTCGAGAAATTTCGAGAAGGTCGGCTAGGGGGGCTGACGCTGTTGCCAGGCATGTGCCCTCGCTTCGAAGGATTCCTGCAAACATGCCCATCGTACAGCGTTACTCTCCTCTACGTCTTCCTTGCCAACTATGTGAGCTGCGAGGACAAGGCCTGCAGTGCTGTAGAGGATGGGGTGTGGTTGTGATGAAGGGGGAAGGGAGAAGAAGTGGTTTTGTGATGGAGCACTGTTGTTTTTCCATTACTTGAACTGTTATCATAATCTTTCTTGTTGTCATCATTGATGTTGTTGTTAGTGCTCATTCTTTTTCCAACATGCACATCATGGGAGTCATGTTGTTGTTCATTTTTTGTCCAACACGTACATCATGGGATAGTCTGACTCATTTTTGCAGGTGTGGGGTCTGCCATGGCTGTACACGACGATGTTGGGAGAGAGAAAGAAGAGGCTGTAATAGTCAAACACCCACCTGTCCTGTCTGAATGATGTTGCTGCAGTTATCCCAAGCCAGCTCCGAAGTTGCAGGGAGTTGTGTTTCCTGTTAGCAAGAATGGCGAGAGGAGGTAAGTGCTGAGCAGAGGCGAGCTGAGAATGTGTTGTATGGTCATAGAAAAGAGGAAAGGAAGTTAAGAGGGGAGGGAGGTCGAGGAGGGAGAAGATGAGGGGAGTCGGGGAGGGGAGAACAGGAGGGAGGGAGCAAGAGAGGAGTGTTTGAGTGAAGTTGCCTTGACCTTGTGTGTTCTGAACAGCACAACCAATGCCGCCAAAGAAATCTTCGCCATGGCCATGGAGTCTACTGATGCGAAGATGGCGGATAAGGTGATGGAAAGAGGACAAGAGGAGGACGGCAGGGCTGGAGGTATGACGATGGTGCCAACCAGGTGAAGAAGGAGAAGAACTGGAGGTTCGGATACACCAAGCACATCCTGAACAACCTTGTTGTCTCAGCCAAGTCACAGAAGCATGTGATGCTCCTGTCTCTTTGCTCCTCCTCTCCGTCTTCCTCCTCCTCCTTCGCCCTCTCCATCCTCCTCCCTCCCCATCCTCTTTCCCCCATATTTCGCCTCCTTCTATGTCCCTCTGCCTTGGTTTCTCCCTTCATACTTGCAGCAGAAGCTAACGAAAGTTTTGCAAGGCGATCGAGATTGCTGAGAACGGTTTGAAAGCAATGTACGAGAAGTTTGAATTTATCACTGAGGACAATACCACGGTGAAGATTTCCACTCTTTCAACCTCACGCTCACTCGCTTCTGTCATCCTCAACTCTCGCCT